TTGCAAGGGAGGGCAGTTGGAGGCGATCAACCCTGTAGGGGAGGTGACTAGGCCAGCAGAGGAGGGAAGTTGGGGGCAAACAGGCTGGCAGGGAAGCAGTTAGACATCAATCAGGCTGGCATGGGAGTGGTTAGGGAGTGATCAGGTTGGCAGGCAGAAGCAGTTAGGGGCAATCAGAAAGGCAGGCAGGTGAGCAGTTGGGAGCCAGCAGTTCTGGATTGTGAGAGGGATGTCTGACTGCTCTCGAGAGGTCCCAGATTGGAGAGGGTGCAGGCTGGGCTGAGGGACACTTCCCCAGCCCTGTGCACAAATTTCATGCACCGGGCCTCTAGACTTATATAAATTTATTTAATACAATCAAATAAATTGGGGAAAAAATGAAATACTTCTTTCTCAAGCCAGATTGCTCAGTTGGTTGGAGCATCATCCCATACACCATAAAGATTTTGGGTTCAACTTCCTGTCAGGGAACATACCTAGGTTGGGAGTTTGATTCCCATTTGAGGCCTGTATGGGAGGCAAACAATCAATGTTTCTCTCCCACATCCATTTTTCTTTCCTCTCTCTAAAATCAATAAAACATATTCCTGCGTCTGGCCAGTGATGCTCAATGTTTAAGCTTCAGCCCATGAACCAAGAAGTCACAAGTAAGATTCCTCATCAGGGCACATGTCCAGGTTGTGGGCTCAATCCCCACCCAGTATGGGCATGTAGGAGGCAGCCATTGATATTTCTCTCTCATTGAAGTTTCTATTTCTCTATCTCTCTTCATTCCTCTCTCTAAAAATAGAGAAGAAGATATTTAAACAAAAACATATTCTTGAATGAGGATTTTTAAAAAAACTTAAATACTTCTCCACTATAAGAGACCTTTTTTTTTTTGTTGTTGTTGTTGTTGTTAATCCTTACCCAAGGATATTTCCCCATTTATTTTAGAGAGTAGAAGGAAGAGGGAGAGACTGAGAAAAACATTGACTTGAGATAGACCCAACAGTTGGTTGCCTTATGCACGCAGTCCGGCCAGGGCCAGGGAACCTGCAACTGAGGTACATGCCCTTGACTGGAATCAAACCTGGGACCCTTCAGTCTACAGGCTGATGCTGTATCCAGTAAGCCAAACCAGCTAGGGCAAGATATCTTTAGGAAAGTGAAAAGAGAGCTCACAGAATAAGGGAAATGTTTGCAACTCATTTCCAATAGGAACTAGTAACCAGCAAATATTAACAAGTCTTACAACTCAACAAGAAAAGGACACACAGTTTTATAAGGGCAAAGGATGTAAATAGAAATTTTTACAAGGAAGATACAGTGACCAAAAGGAACATGAAAAAGTGGGTAACATAATAAATTATTAAGGAATTGCAGACCAAAACTACAAGGAAATACCACTTCACATCCACTAGAATAGCTATAATAAAAAAAAAGTTAGACAATAACAGATGTTGGTGATAAGGAGAAACTGGAATCCTCACTCATTTCTGGCAGGAATGTGAAATTGTGCAGCTTCTTTGGAAATAGTTGGGCAGTTCCTCAAGAGGATAAATATAGAGTTCTCACATGCCCAAACAATTATACTCCTAAGTATCTACCCAGGAGAAATGAAGACATATGTCCATGCAAGAGCATGTACTCAAATGTCCATAGCAGTATTATTCATAATCTTCCCAAAGCAGAAACAACCAAAACTTTCTTTAACAGATTGATCTAAAAGTAAAATGTGGTATGTCCACAAAAAAAGAACATTATTTGGCTAAAGGAAAGGAAGTATTCATGTAAAATATTATAGAGCTAATCATTGGAAACAGTATGTGAGGTGAAATATGCCAGTCACAGCCCTAACCAGTTTGGCTCAGTGGATAGAGCAACGGCCTGGGGACTCAAGGGTCCCAGGTTCGATTCCGGTCAAAGGCATGTACCTTGGTTGCAGGCACATACCCTGTAGGGAGTGTGCAGTAGGCAGCTGATTGATGTTTCTCTCTCATTGATGTTTCTCTCTATCCCTCTCACTTCTTCTCTGTAAAAAATCAATTATGCCATTCACAGAAGATTACACCATGTAGGATTCCACTACTATCAAGTATCCAGAATAGACAAAATCATTGAGCTGGAGAATAGAGTAGTGGTAGCCATGAGCTGTGGAAAGGGGACAATTAGGAGTGACTGATAATAGATACTAGAGTTTTCCTTGGGGGTGAGAAAATTGATTTGATGACAGTTGCATAATTTTCTGAACACACTACAAACCACCACTATGTACACTTTAAATAATGAATGCTATGGTATGTGAATTATATCTCAATAACGGTGTGATTAAAAGGCAAATAAAATAAACTTACATAATTCTGCAATGCATGTTTAGGAAGCAAACTGAGAAAGAAAAGTGACAAAGTAGGTAGATACCTTGAAAGAAAGGGGTCATGAGGACTTGGCAATGGCACATGGGTGACTTCTATGGAGCTAAAAGTGTTGTTTACTTTATCAGAGCTGTACTTACACAGCTCCCCTCTCCCCTGTTTCTCTCTCCAATATTCATAAAATTAACCCTCTTTACCATTTCTAAGTGTATAGTTCAGTGGTAATATATACATTTACATTGTTGTGCAGCCATCATCAACTCCACTTCCAGAACTTTTTCATCATCTCAAACTGAAACTGTCTTCATTAACCAGTCCTATTAATATTACTCTTTTCCCAACTCCTGTGACCTCCACTTCACTATCTGTCTCTACGAACTTGACTACTTGAGAAAACTCATAGAAATTAAGTTATAATGTGTGTTTTTTGGTGTGTGACTGAGCTGTTCTCTTCCAAATAATTTACTGAGAAATATATTTATGTTTTAGTCACATTTTGTGACTATGCTATGATTCAAAATTTAAATTTCATTGAAGAAAAAAGTATGGGTGCAAATTGAAACAGAATGTATATATATTTCCAAAGAGTTTCATTATGTATGAAACAGATTTTTTTTTATTGATTAAGGTATTACATATGTGTCTTTATCCTCTCATTGCCACCCCACCCGCACCCCCGCTCATGCCCTCACCCCCCTCGTGTCTGTGTCCATTAGTTGAACTTATATGCATGCATACAAGTCCTTTGGTTGATCTCTCCCCCTTACTCCACCCCTATCTTCCCTCTGAGGTTTGACCATCTGATCGATGCTTCCCATCTCTGAATCTGTTTTTGTTCAGCAGTTTATGTTATTCATTATATTCCACAAATGAGTGAAGTCATGTGATATTTATCTTTCTCTGACTGACTTATTTTACTTAGCATACTGCTCTTCAGGTCCATCCATGCTATTGCAAATGGTAGGAGTTCCTTCCTTTTTACAGCAGCGTAGTATTCTAGTGTGTGGATGTAATAGTTTTTTAGTCCACTCATTTGCTGATGGGCACTTAGGCTGTTTCCAAACCTTAGCTATCATAAATTGTGCTGCTATGAACATAGGGGTGCATATATCCTTTCTGATTGGTGTTTCTAGTTTCTTGGGATATGTTCTTACAAGTGGGATCACCGGATTAAATGGGAGTTCCATTTTTACTTTTTTGAGGAAACTCCATAATGTTCTGCACAGTGGCTGCACCCAGTCTGCATTCCTACCAGCAGTGCACTAGGATTTCTTTTTCTCTGCATCCTTGCTAGCACTTGTCATTTGTTGATTTGTTGACGATAGCCATTCTGACAGGTGTGAGATGGTACCTCACTGTGATTTTGATTTGAATCTCTCGGATAATTAGTGGCTTTGAGCATGTTTTCATATGTTTCTTGGCCTTCCTTCTGTCCTCTTTTGAAAAGTACCTATTTAGGTCCATTGCCCATAATTTGATTGGGTTGTTTATCTTCCTTTTGTTAAGTTGTATGAGTTCCCTGTAAATGTTGGAGATTAGACTTTTATTGAAGATAACATTACAAACATGTTCTCCTGTGCAGTGAGCTTTTTGTTGCTTTGCTCATGGTTTCTTTTGTTCTGCAGAAACTTTTTATTTTGATGTAGTCCCATTTGTTTCTCTTTAGTTTCCATTGCCCGAGGCTGAAAATAATGTTTCTGCACATGTCTGAGATCTTGCAGCTTGTGGATTTCTCTAAGATTGTTATGGTTTCCCATCTTACTAAGTCCTTTATCCATTTGGAGTTTATTTTTGTGTATGGTATAAGTTGGTGGTCTAGATGATGTGGGTTGAGAGTGATGGTTTGATAAAGATGAAACATTCCTGCATATAATGAGATTGGTTCCAATGGACACACAGATGTCTCAGAAATAAAAGACAGAAGAGACAGTTGGAAAAGTGAAGTTCATGAGAAATTGAAAGGGAAGTAGATGCCACTCACAAGTAGTAGGATTGACCTTAGTTGAGTATGGACAATTTATCCACCATAGTTGGAGAACAATTTAGATACAGGTGACTCATGTGGTGTCTCCATGTCAAAGTACTCTTGATCACTTTTATTTTTCTCAGTTAAATATGAGGTACAAAAACATTAGGGAAGTGAACTGACCAGCAAAATGTAGGAAGAGGGAGGTACATTTTGAGGTCACGAATGTGCCATTTGTCCACATAGTTTTTCTAGAGACATTTTCATTCAGGGAAGGTTTGATGCAAGCACAAACAAATAACATACAACAGATGAGACATGAGAGCACTTTTATCTGGGAGTCATTTATTCCTTCAATAAGTAATTCTAGTTAATTTACTCTTTTATTAACAATATGTTCTTACTGATTTTTTGAAAGAAAGGAAAAACGAGAGAGAAACATCTGAGAACGAAACATCAACATGAGGATCCAGCATGACATGCAGGCATGTGCCCTGATCCACATTCTAACCAGTGACTTCATGCTCAATCTCTGAGCCATATTGGCTTGGGTAGTTTTTCTACTCTTAAACCTGAGTGAATAAAGATGAAAACAGAAGTGGGCACTGGATACATGTAGGTGATCTTCCTCCCTTCCTCCCTTCTATCCTTCTTCCCTTCCTTCCTCACCTAAGAATATTTTTCCATTGATTTTTTTGGGGGAGTAGGCGGGGAGAGGAAGAGAGATGGAAAGACAGAATTATCGATGTGAGAGAGACACATTGATTGGTTGCCTCCTGCACCAGCTCAGACCAGAGCCTGAGCCAGGGAGGATCCTGTAACTGAGGTAGTTACCCCTCTAGAGTAAAACCTGAGACCCTGAGGTCTGTAGGATGACCCTCTATCCACTGAGACAAACTGGCTAGGCCAGTGGTCGGCAAACCGTGGCTCACAAGTCACATGCAATCTTTGGGCCCTTGAGTGTGGCTCTTCCACAAATACCTCATGGGGGCGCGCACATATAATGCGACTGAAACTTTGTGGCCCATGTGAAGAAATTGGTTTTCGGCCTGGGCAAGTCTATTTTGAAGAAGTGGTTCTAACGCTGAGCCACATTCAAGGGGCCAAAGAGCTGCAAGTGGCTCGAGAGCAACAGATTGCCGACCACTGGGCTAGGCTATTGTAGAACATTTTCTAACACAAGGGAGACTTTGGGGATACCTAATCTTCAATTGGCTTAATTTTAGGGTACCAAGCCATTCACAGAAGGGAATTTACCAGTCAACGCGCCCACGAAAATCATACATAAAGTAAGGCTGCTCTGTTGGCTTCTCCCATACACATTTTTTGGCAGTGTTATAAGCAAATCTTGAGAGGCTGAATTTTGATGAGGTTAAAAAATTGGAATATTGTCCCTTGCCCCATGATCACCAGCCCATTTAGGCTGGGGAACAGGAAAGCCAGTCCCTTGCCTATCTAATAGACTGGTCTGAGAGATGTACATATTACTATAAAGCATCACTGAGGGATCAAGTACAGCTTAAGTTTGATGCCCATGCGTTACAGAAAAAGAGTTTTAGAAGAGGGGAAATGGGCAATGGAGTGTGCCCACCACTGATCTTCAAGCCCCTGGTTTGGAACATTAGGAGTTGGCTGAGCAACGGACACAGTAGTTGGGGGATGTTCCGTGTGGCACAGTTGAAGAAGGCACAGAGGTTTTGTTTCCTCTCTCAAGGTACAACCTTGCACTTTACAGTTTGCAGTCCTTCTTTTTTATTACACCATCACAATATCAAAAGGTCTGTAGCCAAGAATCACTGAAGCTAATGATATGGAACTAAGCCACAGAAAGGACGCTATCTGAAGGATAACACAGAGTTCACAGAGACTAGAAAGGACACAGCCAGAGGTAGGCAGTACCCACCCTTTATAAGACAGCAGACATCTGAAGCTAATCCCAGACCCTAAGGGTCTGCATGTCAAGAAGTACTTCTGCTCATGGACACAAGCCCTGCATCAGCTACTGATTCACTGGGGCCATGTCAGTGGCTCTCGTTGGGAGGGACTCTGCCTCCTCCTTGCCTTCTCTACAGAAGAATCATGACGTTATATATGAGGCTAGCAGAGTGCTTCACAATTGGGCTCCCCTAAAGAAGGGCTTGGTGCTGGTACTGGTGCCAGGATCTTCACCTGTCAGGTTGGGGATTGTGCTGGTGTTGGTACTGAGTTTCCTGCCAAGCTTGTGCTGTGACCTGAAATCAGTATATTCCTCATCCTATGAAATAGTCATCCCCAAGACAGTTGAGGGAAGGCAAGACCCAGAGGAAGAAGCATCTTATGTGATATCTATGCAAGGCCAGAAACAGCTGATTCACCTGAAAGTAAAGACAGACTATTTTATCAAGAACTTTCCAGTCTTCAGCTACCACAATGGCACCCAGGGACAAGAAATGCCTTTCATCTCACATGACTGTCACTATGAAGGCTACATAGAAGGAGTCCCGGGTTCTTTTGTTTCTGTTAACACCTGTTCAGGCCTCAGGGGCATCCTGATTAAGGAGGGAAAATCCTATGGCATTGAGCCCATGGACTCTTCAAAACAGTTTGAACATGTATTGTCCACCATGGCCCATCAAGCTCCAGTCTCCTGCAGTGTCACTTCCCAAGACAGCCCAGTGGTGTCTGCCAGCCGACAACAGGGGAGCAGGAAGCCTGGCGGTCTACAGGAGCTGTCCTCCTTGTGGTCACTCACCAAGTACGTGGAGATGTTTGTTGTGGTCAACAACCAGCGGTTCCAAATGTGGGGCAGTAACGTCAATGAGACGGTCCAGAGAGTGATGGACATCATTGCCCTGGCCAACAGCTTCACTAGGGGGATAAACACACAGGTGGTGCTGGCTGGGATGGAGATTTGGACCGAGGGGGACCTCATAGAGGTCCCAGTGGACCTGCAAGTTACACTGGGGAATTTCAACAAGTGGAGACAAGAGAAGCTCCTCCATCGTGTGAAGCATGATGTTGCCCACATGATCGTCGGACAGCATCCTGAGCACGGTATGGGACAGGCATTTCTCAGTGGTGCCTGTTCCCGTGGTTTTGCAGCAGCTGTTGAATCCTTCCCTCATGAAGATGCCCTCCTGTTTGCAGCGCTCATGGTCCATGAGCTTGGGCACAACTTGGGTATTGGGCACGACCACTCAGCCTGCATTTGTAAAGACAAACACCTCTGCCTCATGCGTGACAATATCACTAAAGAAAGTGGCTTCAGCAACTGTAGCTCTGACGACTTCTACCAGTTTCTCCAGGATCACAGAGGGGCCTGCCTATTTAACAACCCTCAGCGGCACAAAGGCCGCTTGCGTAGGGATTCCTACTGTGGAGATGGTGTGGTGGAGGGTGAGGAGCAGTGTGACTGTGGTTCTGCCTGTTACACTGACCCGTGCTGTGACCAAACATGTAGCCTGAAGGGGAGTGCAGAATGTAGTGATGGACTCTGCTGCTTTGGTTGCCAATTGAGAAATAAGGGATTCGTGTGCCGTTCTGCTTCAGGAGAGTGTGACCTCCCAGAGTACTGTGATGGTAGCTCTGCAGAGTGCCCCACAGACACCTATAAGCAAGATGGTACACCGTGCGATAGACTGCACATCTGTATTGGAGGTCAATGCAGAAACCCTGATAATCAATGCATGGCTATGTATGGGGACACTGCACGGTCTGCCCCAGAAAACTGTTACATTTCAATAAACAGCAAAGGGGACCGGTTTGGAAACTGTGGCCATCCCACTTCGGCAATGCCAAGATATATTAAGTGTTTTGATGATAATATATTTTGTGGGAAAATTATATGTACAAATATTAGACAGGTCCCATCCATCAAACCCCATCGCACACTGATCCAGATTCCTTACGAAGGTGACTTCTGCTGGAGCTTGGATGTCTATAACATTACTAATATCCCTGATGAGGGAGATGTGCACTCTGGCACTGCTTGTGCCCCAAACAAAGTCTGCATGGATTACTCCTGCACTGATCATGCTATGCTCAAGTATGACTGCAAACCAGCAGAAATGTGTAATGGGAGAGGAGTCTGTAACAATTTAAGGCACTGCCACTGTGAGGCTGGCTATGCACCCCCCGACTGCCAAACCCCGGGAAGTGGGGGTAGTGTGGACAGTGGTTCTCCTGGCAAAACAGAGGTTGAAAATCCAAGTGAGGATGAAGGGCACAGTTACAGTGTTGATCATGTAAATTTTGGTAGAGGAGAGAATAGAAATGAAAGGAAAAGCAGGGATGAGGTTCAGTACATATTCCCCCTTTTTATTATCATAATAATTTGTTTAGCTTTTATTTCCTTTTGCTGTTGTTGTTGTTTTGCTATGCTTAGTTGTCTATTTCTTGGTGCGGGTATTAGGGTTGGAATGCATTATTTTCCACGGTCACATGAGACTCCAAAAGAAAATGGAAAAGCAGCTACAGAACAACAGAAAGATGGCATTAAAAAGAAAATACCAAAAGCAGAAAATGAGTAGTGACAGGAAGAAGTCTTCTATAGCAAACACTTCATAAACTTGATGGGAGGAGGCTCAGTGGAGCAAATGTGAAGTGGGTATTGACAGCGGCAGTGGCTTTGATCAGGACTCTAGATTGTAGAAATGTACTAATGTGGGAGGAGGGATGATTTTCTTCTCCTGTCTTTTACTAATTAGTTACGTATGTATATGTGAAATCATTTCAAGACTTTTACTACTTTTTCCCATTTTCCCATTTCATGAAACCATTTAAATGATCTTTTCTCATGGACCATTCCTATTAATGTCTTATCTTAATTGGGACATTTTTGAGTTACTAGTTTTTTAGAGAATGTCACCTTCTAATCATCTTTGTTTGACATATATATCTGTTTCAGGTTTTTCATCCCAATCACAACTACACATTATGTCAGGAAGGTTGTTTTTTTGGTTTGTTGTTTTTATTTAACTGGTGAAATATATTCATTAAATAAAAAGATTTTCAAGTGAAAATAATCTAGTCCATGTGGCTTAATGATTGAGTGTCAATCTATGAATCATGAGTTCATGGTTGGATTCTAGGTCGAGGTATATGCTAGAGTTGGGGCTTGATCCCCAGTGGGGGATATACGGGGCGGGGGCAGTCAACCAGTGGTTCTCTCTCTCTCTTTCTCTCCCTTGCCTTCATCTCTGAATCAATAAAAAAATATTTTTAAAAAAGTAAATAACAGTGTTCAGATAAGGCACATAAACTAGATCTCCTTTTTGTGGCCTATGTACTAGGTCTCCTTTAGATTTGGGACTCTCTACAAGGGCTCTATCTCATCCAGAATGGTGTGATCACCCTGTGTCTAAATACATGGGAGAGAGTAAGCAACCTAGACAAGAGGCAAGCTTGTCCAGTACTAAGTTTAGTTGGAAGTACTCATTTTTCCTTTTATTCTGGTTTCCTAGTTTATGTATTATATTTATTTCTCATTTCCATTTTTTATTTTTATTTTTGTAAATCCTCACCTGAAGTCATTTTTTTCACTGTCCCCCCCCCAACACCACTGATTTTTAGAGAGTGGAAGGAATGGGGAGAGAGAGTGAGAAACATCGATGTGAGAGAGATACATCTATTATGGGGAGACCAGGTTCGGGGATGGGCCTATAACTGAGGGACATCCCCTTGAATGAAATCCAACCTGCCATTCTTCAGTCTGTGGGTGGATGCGCTATCCATTGCGCTAAACCGGCTAGGGCTATTTCTCATTTCCTTTATTAAGTTAACATATCAATCACTGACAATCTAAAGGAACAGAGCATTGGAGGATAATTGTCTGTAAGGAGATCACAAAGCATGTAAAAAAATAACTATCAATTCTGTGCAAGACACTATTCTAAACATTTTAAGTTATTTTTCATTTAACCCTCCCATTCAACCTATTATACCATCTTCTTCCACATGCTAACCCGACATGCTCAGGGGAGGCCTGCATGGCAGTCTTGCAAACTCAGAGACCTAAAATAACCACAAAAGATGGTTTGAAAATTAAATATTTAACTACAAACATGTAATAGTGGGTAGTCATGTCCTAGGCAGATATTTTCTCTGACAAGATCAACTTAGATCTTCCTTACTGAGCCCATTTGCCTTTTTGCCTCTAAGATAACATATCTGTGAGATGTCTGGGTAACTTGTAACTTCCTTTTTACCCTGGACCCCTCAGGGCACAACAAATGGCATGAGGGAGATGTGCACTCTGGCACTGCTTGTGCCCCAAACAAAGTCTGCATGGATTACTCCTGCACCGATCATGCTGTGCTCAAGTATGACTGCAAACCAGCAGAAATGTGCGATGGAAGAGGAGTCTGTAACAATTTAAGGCTCTGCCACTGTGAGGCTGGCTATGTACCCCCCGACTGCCGAACCCCGGGAAGTGGGGGCAGTGTGGACAGTGGTTCTCCTGGCAAAACAGAGAATGAAAATCCAAGTGAGGATGAAAGAAATAATCATAGTCTTGGTCATGATAATTTTGCAGAGGTGATGAAAGCAAAACCAGGAGTCAATTATTGTTCACAACCCCCCTAATTCTTTTACTAATACTAGTTTTTCCTTTCTTTTGCTTCTTTCTTGTTCTTTTTCTGTTAGTACTATTTTTTGTTCTAATTATCATTGTCAGTGTTGGGGCTGGAAGGGATTTAGCACAGCACTTACAAGAGGCCCCAGAAGAAAACGAAGATGAAGAAGGCATTAAGAGAGAAAAACCGGAAGGCAGAAAACGAGTAGTGATAGGAAGAAGTTTTCTTTGGCAAGCACTTCATTCATACACCTGGTGGAAAAAGGCCAGAGAGAGAAAATGTGAAGTGGGCATTGACAGTGGAAATGGCTTTATCAGGACTCTACATATTGTAGAAATGTACTAATGTGGGATGCAGACTTTCTTCTGTTTTTAATAAATAATTATATATACATGTGACATCACTTATAAAATATCTTAGTATTTTTCCCATTTTTACATTTCATGAAATCATTTAAATAAACTATTCTCATGGATTATTCCTAAAAATGTCTTGTCTTAGTAAGCCAATTTTTGAGTTACCAGTTTTACAGAGAATGCTACCTTTTACTCTTTCTTTGACATATATATCTGTGCCAGGTTTTTCATCCCAATCACAACTACACATTATATTAGGAAGGTTGTTTATTTGATTTGTAGTTCTAATTGAACTGGAGAAGTATACTCATGAAGTAAAATTATTTTTAAAATATATTTTTATGGATTTCAGAGAGGAAGGAAGAGGGAGAGAGAGATAGAAACATCAATGATGAGAGTGAATCATTAATCTGTTGCCTCCTGCATGACCCCTATTAGAGATGGAGCCTACAATCTGGGCATGTGCCCTGACCAGTATTCAAATCATGACCTCCTGGTTTATAGGTTGACACTCAACCACAGGGTCTGGGTGAAGATTTTAAATTAAATTAAATTAAAATTAAAATGTAAACAACAGTGTTCAGATAAAGCATAATTTTAGGCTTTCTGTGGCCTATAAACTTTAGATTTGGCACTCTCTGGAAGGGCTCTATCTGACCCAGGGCGGTGTAATCACCGTGTGTCTAAGTACATGGGAGAGAGTAAGCAACCTAGGCAAGAGGCAAGCTTATGCAGTGCTGAATCTGTTTAGAAGTATTCATTTTTCCTTTTTTTCTTCTTTACATCTTATATTTATTTCTCACTTCCATTATTAAATTAATATATTATTGACTGAATCCAAAAGGATAAAGCATTGGAGGATTTTTAATTGTTTGTAAGGAGAGTACAAAGATTGTATAATAATAACATTTTCTGTTTAAAAAACATATTCTATTGATATTTTACAGAGAGGAAGAGAGAGGGATAGAGAGTTAGAAACATCGATGAGAGAGAATCATCGATCAGCTGCCTCTTGCACACACCCCACTCGGGGATGTGCCGGCAAACAAGGTACATGCCCCCGACCAGAATCGAACCTGGGACCCTTGAGTCTGCAGGCTGACGCTCTATCCACTGAGCCAAACTGGCTTGGACAGTAATAGCATTTTCAATTCTGTGCAAGACACTATCCTAACATTATATGTTCACTGTCTTAATTTAACTCTTCCATTCACCCTATTAGACCATCCTCTTGTATATAAGGAAACAAATATAAGAGTTTTGATGTAGAGCTAGTAAAAGGTAGAAGCTCCATCCCACCCTGTATAATTAGATGTATTTGTCTACTGCCTCATAAGCCTTTACCTTTTGTTAAAAACACAAAAACATGACCAAAAGACAACTGATATGTCCTTACATGCCCAGAACATACCTTTTTCCTTATTGACTCTAATGAAACAACCACCTTACAAATGAATGCTGCTCTCTATTACAAACCTATTACATGTCATTTATTCTTTAAATAAGTAACTCTGGTTCATCTACTTTTGAACCTGGATGAATACAGAAGTGGCCACAGGATACATGTAGGTCGTTTTCTAACACCGGGGATATCTAGTCTTCAACTGGCATAATTTTAGGATAACAATATGTTAAGGTCATTCAGAGAAGGTCCAGGGGCAGAGTTATCAGCCCATGTGCCCATGACAATCACACATAGTAGAAAGCTGCCCTGTTAGCATTTCTCATGCACATTTTCAACAATGTTATAAACAGAACAGGAGAGTCTGAATTTGGATGTTAAAAAATTGTAGTATTGTACCATGATCAAAAGCCCATTTGGGTCTATCTGGGGAATAGAGAAGCCACCCTTTTGCCTTATCTAACAGTCTGGCCTGAAAGATATGCATATCACTATAAAGCCTTATTGAGGGAACAAACATTGAGAGTTTGATACCCATGTATCACACAGCATGAGTTTTAGAAGAGGGGAAATGGGCAATGGAGTGTGCTCATCACTGATCTCCAAGCCCCCTGGTCTGGAACATTAGGAGTTGGCCGAGCAACGGACACAGGAGGGGTGGCATGGGGGGTGGGGTGGAGGTATTCCATATGGCACAGTTGAGAAAGGCACAGTGGGTTTGCTTCCACTGACAAGGTATAATCCTCATTTCAGAGTTTGCAGTCCTTCATGAATACATCACCACAACATGAGTACTATCACCAAGGATCACTGAAGCCAATGCTGTGGTAGAAAACAACAGAAAAAACACTGGCTGAAGGATAACAGAGGTCAGAGAGACTAAAAATAACACAGAGGTAAGCAGTTGCTCTCAAAAGAAGGTAATACCCATCCTATATGCAGACATCATATACCTGGACCTAATCCCAGAGCCTAAGGGTCTGCATATCAAGTAGCACTTCTGCTCAAGGACACAGGCCTTGCATCAGCCATGTCAGTAGCCACCTTTGGAACCATGTCAAGGGCCACCTATGTGAGGGACTCTGCCTCCTCCTTGCCTTCTTTACAAAAGAACCAAGAGGTTATGTCTGAGACTGGCAGAGTGCTTCAGACCTGGGTTACCCAGATGAAGGGCTTGGCACTGGTACTGCTGCCAGAATCTTCATGTGTCAGGTTGGAGACTGTGCTGGTGTTGGTACTGAGTTTCCTGCCAAGCTTGTGCTGTGACCTGAAATCAGTATATTCCTCATCCTATGAACTAGTCATCCCCAAGGCTCTGACAGTTGAGGGAAGGCAAGACCCAGAGGAAGAGGCATCTTATGTGATATCTATGCAGGGCGAGAAACAGCTGATTCACCTGAAAGTGAAGACAGACTATTTTATCAAGAACTTTCCAGTCTTCAGCTACCATAATGGCACCCGGGGACAAGAAATGCCTTTCATCTCACATGACTGTCACTATGAAGGCTACATAGAAGGAGTCCCGGGTTCTTTTGTTTCTGTCAACACCTGTTCAGGCCTCAGGGGCATCCTGATTAAGGAGGGAAAATCCTATGGCATTGAGCCCATGGACTCTTCAAAACAGTTTGAACATGTGTTGTACACCATGGCCCATCAAGCTCCAGTCTCCTGCAGTGTCACTTCCCAAGACAGCCCAGTGGTGTCTGCCAGCCGACAACAGGGGAGCAGGAAGCCTGGCGGTCTGCAGGAGCTGTCCTCCTTGTGGTCACTCACCAAGTACGTGGAGATGTTTGTTGTGGTCAACAACCAGCGGTTCCAAATGTGGGGCAGTAACGTCAATGAGACGGTCCAGAGAGTGATGGACATCATTGCCCTGGCCAACAGCTTCACTAGGGGGATAAACACACAGGTGGTGCTGGCTGGAGTGGAGATTTGGACCGAGGGGGACCTCATAGAGGTCCCAGTGGACCTGCAAGTTACACTGGGGAATTTCAACAAGTGGAGACAAGAGAAGCTCCTCCATCGTGTGAAGCATGATGTTGCCCACATGATTGTCGGACAGCATCCTGAGCACGGTATGGGACAGGCATTTCTCAGTGGTGCATGTTCCCGAGGTTTTGCAGCAGCTGTTGAATCCTTCCCTCATGAAGATGCCCTCCTGTTTGCAGCGCTCATGGTCCATGAGCTTGGGCACAACTTGGGTATTGGGCACGACCACTCAGCCTGCATTTGTAAAGACAAACACCTCTGCCTCATGCGTGACAATATCACTAAAGAAAGTGGCTTCAGCAACTGTAGCTCTGACGACTTCTACCAGTTTCTCCAGGATCACAGAGGGGCCTGCCTATTTAACAACCCTCAGCGGCACAAAGGCCGCTTGCGTAGGGATTCCTACTGTGGAGATGGTGTGGTGGAGGGTGAGGAGCAGTGTGACTGTGGTTCTGCCTGTTACACTGACCCGTGCTGTGACCAAACATGTAGCCTGAAGGGGAGTGCAGAATGTAGTGATGGACTCTGCTGCTTTGGTTGCCAATTGAGAAATAAGGGATTCGTGTGCCGTTCTGCTTCAGGAGAGTGTGACCTCCCAGAGTACTGTGATGGCAGTTTTGCAGAGTGCCCCACAGACACCTTTAAGCAAGATGGTACACCGTGCGATAGACTGCACATCTGTATTGGAGGTCAATGCAGAAACCCTGATAATCAATGCATGGCTATGTATGGGGACACTGCACGGTCTGCCCCAGAAAACTGTTACATTTTAATAAACAGCAAAGGGAACCGGTTTGGAAACTGTGGCCATCCCACTTCGGCAATGCCAAGATACGTTAAATGTTTTGATGATAATATATTTTGTGGGAAAATTATATGTACAAATATTAGACAGGTCCCATCCATCAAACCCCATCGCACACTGATCCAGATTCCTTACGAAGGTGACTTCTGCTGGAGCTTGGATGTCTATAACATTACTGATATCCCTGATGAGGGAGATGTGCACTCTGGCACTGCTTGTGCCCCGAACAAAGTCTGCATGGATTACTCCTGCACTGATCATGCTGTGCTCAAGTATGACTGCAAACCAGCAGAAATGTGCGATGGGAGAGGAGTCTGTAACAATTTAAGGCACTGCCACTGTGAGGCTGGCTATGCACCGCCCAACTGCCGAACGCCAGGAAGTGGGGGTAGTGTGGACAGTGGTTCTCCTGACAAAACAGAGAATGAAAATCCAAGTGAGGATGAAGGGAACAGTTATAGTATTGCTCGTGGTAGTTTTGGCAGAGGTGGTGAGAATACACAGGAAAGCAAAAAGAACTCATCACTGCCCATTCTTCTTTTATTATTAATACTTTTTTTTCCTATTTTTTACATTTGCATTATTTTTCTTTTATCATATATCTTTGGTCTAATTATTGGTGTTGGTGTTAAAGGTGAGAAGGATTTAGAACATCACTCAACTGAGTCCTCAGAAGAAAATGAAGAATCAGTGGACCAAAAAAGAGAAAAAGGGCATTAAAGGATGAAAACCCAAAGAAAGAAAATGAGTAGTGATAGGGAGAAGTCTTCTATAGCAAGCACTTCATACACCTGGTGGAAGGAGGCTCAGTACAGCAAATGTGAAGTGGACATCAGCAGTAGAAGTGGCTCCGATGGGGATTGTAAAGACTATAGAAATGTACTAATGCAAAGGAGGGATTTTCTTTTGATTTTTACTAATTAATTATATATGCTTATGTAAAAGCACTTATAAAACATTTTACTATTTTTTCCATTTCATGAAGCCATTTAAATAAACTTTTCTCATGGATCATTCCCATCAATTTCTCATCTTATTTGGAACAATTTCTGAATTACCAGCTTTTCAGAGAACACCACCTTCTATCCTCTTTGTATGACATATATTTCTATGCCAGGTTTTTTCACTGCAATCACAACCACACATTATATTATGAAGGTTGTTTATTTCACTTGTTCTTCTATTTGAACTGGAGAAATTTACTCATTAAATAAAAAGATATTAAATTAAAAAGTAAATAACAGTGTTCACATAAAGCATCATATGAAGTTTTTTGTGGCCTGTAAACCTTAGATTTGGCACTCTCTGGAAGGGCTCTATCTGACCCAGGGCGGTGTAATCACCGTGTGTCTAAGTACATGGGAGAGAGTAAGCAACCTAGGCAAGAGGCAAGCTTATGCAGTGCTGAGTCTGTTTAGAGGTATTCATTTTTCCTTTTTTCTGTTTCTACTTTTCTTATTATATTTATTTTTCATTCCCATTATTAAAGTAATATATTATTGCCTGACAATCCAAAGGTACAGAGCATTGGAGAGTTGTTATTGTAATTATCTATAGGAGAGCACAAAGCATATAAAATAACATTATCAAATCTGTGCAGGACATTATTCTAAACACTTTTCATTCATTGTCTTTTTAAAAATAAATCTTATTTTTCAGATTATTACAGTTATTCCTCTCCTCTCCCCACCCCCCAACCCCTCCACCAGTTCCTACCCCACCCCATACCCTTATCCCCAACTCTCCTTGTCTATAGGTGTAAGATTTTTGTCTAATCTCTTCCTGCACTCTCAACACTCCCGCCGGGGGAGAGGGGTGGTCCCCCCACCACACACACACAAGAATTGTCAGTCTACTTCCTGAGTCTATTATATTCATCAGTTTATTCTTTTCATCAGATTTTTTATTCACTTGATTTTTAGATTCACTTGTTGATAGACATATATTTGTTGTCACTTTGTTGTTCATAATTTTTTAACTTTACCTTTTTCTTCTTCCTCTTCTTAAAGAATACCATTCAGCATTTCAGATAATACTGGTTTGGTGGTGATGAATTCCTTTAGCTTTTTCTTATCTGTGAAGCTCTTTATCTGACCTTCATTTCTAAATGATAGCTTTGCTGAGTAGAGTAATCTTGGTTGTTGGTTCTTGCCATTCATGACTTTGAATATTTCTTGTCACTCCCTTCTGGCCTGCATAGTTTCTACTGAGTAATCAGCTGACAGTCATAGTAAGTAACTGACTGTTTTTCTCTTGCTGCTTTTAAGATTCTGTCTTTTTGCCCTTGGCATTTTAATTATGATGTGTCTTGGTGTGGTCCTCTTTGGATTCCTTTTGTTTGGGGTTCTCTGTACTTCCTGTACTTGTAAGTCTATTTCTTTCACCAGATAGGAAGTTTTCTGTCACTATTTCTTTCAATATGCCTTCAATATCCTGCTCTCTCTCTTCTACTGGAACCACCATAATTCATATGCTGGTACGCTTGAAGTTGTCCCAGAGGCTCCTTATACTATTTTCATATTTTTGGATTCTTTTTTTTTTTTTTTTTTTGTTCTTCCAGTTGGGTGTTTTTTGCTTCTTTGTTATTTCAAATCTTTGACTTGAATCTTGAGATCCTCTAGTCTACTATTGAATTTCTGTATATTATTCTTTATTTTAGTCAGTGTATGCTTAATTTCTGACTGGTCCTTTTCCTTTTTTTTTTTGGCGGGGGAAGGGGGGAGGGGAGGCATTCTCATTAATATCTTTGAAGGTCTCACTAAGTTTCTCAGAGCTTTCTAGAAAAACTTTATAGCCATGGTTTTGAACTCTATATCCAGTAGTTTGCCTCCATTTCTTTCATTTGTGACATGTTTCTTTGTCTCTGCATTTTGGCTGCTTCCCTATGTTAATAGAGTGGCCTTTTGTGTTAGGTGTCCTATAGGGCCCAGTGGGTCGGCCTCCCCAGTCACCTGAGGTGGACAGTCTTTGTGCACCCCTTTGTGAGCTGTTTGCACAGTCTAGTAGTTAATCCTTGGTTGCTATTGGTATCAAAGGGGGAAATTGACCTCTAGGCCAACTGGCTGTAATGATCATCTGTGTCTACAGTGCAAGAGCTGCTGTGCAGGAGACACACTTATGGGGCAGGACTTGCTTGAGTGGGGCTTTGATGCTCAGTGAGTCTACCTCTTGAGTGTGTCTCTTATGGATATGAAGAGTTGTAATCTGGTATGGTCTCACTGTGACCACTGGGTCCGCTGGCTCTTGGATCTCCAAGGAGATGCAAGGTCAGCCACTGTCTAGGCCCCCACAGCTGGAGCTACAGAGACATCTGCAGATTCCTCCTCTTTCTATGGGGTTTGGAAGTGCCCAGATGATGTCCAACTGTGAAACAAGGGCTTTGGACCTTCTTTTGGAAGCTCTGGGGCTCTCTGACCCAGCTGCAGTTTGTTTTAGGCTAAAGAACATGCCATTCACATGCAAAAGCTGATGCACACAGCTTGGGTGGAGTAGAAAATTGGGTGGGGCAGATTCTCTGGGAATCACCAGGGTGGAGCAAATAGCAATTGCTGCCAATCAGCCCTGAACCTGAGAAGTCTGGTTCTCTGTGTCCTACGCCCCCGTGCAGGAACAATGATCACTGTGGGCCCTTCTAAGAGAAAGCCGCCCTCACATTCCTGTCCTGATGCCAGACAGTCCTGTTTCTCCCTGTATGTGCCTGGATCCCTCAGAGTCTCTCCCAAAACTGGAGTTCAGAGCAACCAGGCGCTTGTATCTCCTTCCCGATTAAAAGAGCAGCACATCCAGGTACCAGCACTTTCCGCTTCTCCGCTCCTCTTACCAGTCTCAATGTGTTTTCTTTGCCTCTCTAGTTGTGGAACTTCCACTCACCCAGCTTTGCTAGAGTTACTAGTTATTCTGTCGTTTAGTTGTGGTTTTGATTTGGTTGTGAGAGGTAACAAGTATATGTGTTTACCTATGCCACCATCTTGGATTTCCTCACCCATTCACTGTATTCTTAAAAATATTTTTGTTTTATTGATTTCAGAGAGGAAAGGAAAGATAGAAACATAAATGGTGAGGGAGAGAACCAAGATGGCGGCCTAGGTAAGCACCTAAGCTGCTGCCTCGCACAACAATTTCAAAAATAACAACTAAAATCAGAACGGACTTCATCCAAAAACACAGGAAAGCTGGTGGAGTGAGAAATCTACAACTAGAAAGAAGGAGAGAGACTCATGGATCGGATTGGAAGCCACAAACCACTGAGGTAGGGAGACGCTCACGCTCAGAGAGGAAGTGCGGCTGAATGCCCAGCTGGTGGGAGGGGAAAGGAATTCCTGATTGCACTGAACCCTTTCTGACTGTACTGAACCCCAACCCCGGCCGAAACCCCGTGTACCCAGGCTCATACGGGTGGAGCCTGGACTGTAGAGAAATGCACCCAGAGACTCAGAGACTGGGAGGCCGGGGGAGCAGGGAGCCACAGTGGGCAGGGTATACAGTAGCACGCGAGTGAGTATGCGCAGAGGTCTGACCAGGGAGGTTGCCACTGCCTCTCCATAGCAGAAGGAGTCAGAAGCTTCAGACTATAGAGACCCATCCCAATTCCGGGTGAGCCCCTGGGGCACCCACGCTCTTGCACGGGGAATCTGGGACCGTCAGGCTGAAACTAAGGGGAGCAAGATACTGAAAACATATTTAAAGAAATAATATCGGAAAACTTCCCCCACCTGGTGAAAGAAATAGACTTACAAGTATAGGAAGCATACAGAACCCCAAACAAGAGGAATCCAAAGAGGACCACACCAAGACACATCATAATTAAAATGCCAAGGGCAAAAGACAAAAAGAAAATCTTACAAGTAGCAAGAGAAAAGCAGTTGGTTACCTATAAGGGAGCACCCATATGACTATCAGCTGATTTCTCAACAGAAACTATGCAGGCCAGAAGGGAGTGGCAAGAAATATTCAAAGTGAAGAATAGCGAGAACCTACAACCAAGATTACTGTATCCAGTAAAGTTATCATTCAGAATTGAAGGTCAGATAAAGAGCTTCACAGATAAGAAAAAGTTAAAGGAGTTCATTACCACCAAACCAGTATTATATGAAATGCTAAAAGGTATTATTTAAGAAGAAGAAGATCAAGTGACTTAAAAATCTGAGGAACAGAATAAACTGGTGAATATAATAGAATCAGGGGCAAAGAAAAGGAGTAGATTCATAATTATCAGGGGAAAGCCTTACAAATGGATGGTGCTCTCTATTATGAAACTACTATGTTGTGTCATTATCAGTGAAAGTGTCCTTTCCCCATTCCATTCTGACATCATGGAGGGGCAAGTATGTATCTTGTTCAGTTCTGAGGGCCCCGCTGATTGTAAAGGCTCAATAAATGTTGACCAAAGGAAGGATTTAACCAGAGCCAACCTTAGGATAGGACACAATTCTGCTAAGTTTTACATTAAAAGATTGCAAACATTTTTAATAAAAAATTTTACATTTTGAATATTAGTTATTTTTAAAAACTTAATTTCAGAATAAAATTTTGATATTCAATTGGAAAATTTCTCATTGTTTTTTCAAAAGCAAGATCAGACTTCCACCAAGAATGTTTGCAAAATACTGACTCTTTAAAACTTTCTAAGAAAGATTCAATACCACTTTTGTTATTTAATTAATTATGGAAATGTTTCATGAGGTTGTGCTAGAGTGAAATAAATACGGGTATGAAGTTCTTGAATCACTTTGTAACCGACAATGGCATGGTGGCTCTTCTCAGAGTTAGAAAATATCTTTTAAATTATTTAAAGAGAGAATATCAGAGGTGGATTAATAACTGACCATGTTTTGCAACATCATGCCTGTTTCATTATTATAATACAATTGGGCTCTCTCACATCCTTACTAACATACCCCAGACACCAGTTTTGTCCCCCCAGTCTGGAATTCAGGAACTTTCACTGCTTCTCCCATCATCTAGAGTAGATTATGTAAACTTGCTATGGTATTAATGTGCTATGACAATTGGGTGGTCCTGTCCATTTCAACTATTGTCTCCTATGGCTTTTGAAAATAAGCATTTCCTCAGATCAGTATGTCTAACAGGAAGAATCTCTGTGCTCATTTCATACCATGGCCACTTCAGATTCTGGGTTTTTCATCATAGTCTTGCTCTTCCATATGCCTAATTTAGTTCAGCTCTCACAGCTCCAGTGAGGCTTTTGAAATTGATCCAGCACAACATCCACTACTCTACTGAACGAAACATGGGTTCTCTTTGAGGATACTCATGGAGAGAACGTATTGGCACATGGGGAAACTCAGTCTGAAACAGACCATCAAGGGGTTGTTTTCTACGGAACAGGGATATGTAAGCATTGTTGTGTTGAGTGAGATTTCTAATTGGAACTGTGAGAGTGAGAAATGTGTTTCTTTATTCATGGAACATGTTCTCAGAATATCAAATTCTGGACATACTCATGCATTAGTGGGAAAATGGAAAGAAATCTTGTAGTAGATAGAAGGAATAAACTCTGAAATCACAAAATTTCTTCTAATAATGCATCTGTCACATAATAATCATGAGGTGGGTAGTAGTGCAGACAATTTTACAGGAAAAATAGAAATTGAAAAATAGAAAGACAGAGTACAGAGCCAGGGAACAGAAGAAAATGCTCTCCCAGGTGCTCTCCAGAGACCATTTATCCACTCAAATCCATTCTTCATAATTCTGGAATAAATTAGGTCATTGTAGAACTAAAGAAAACCACATAAATATGCCAAACAAAGCAAAGGCTACCTGTAGAGTGCTTGGGAAGGCACATGTGCATTCTTTGCCAAAAAGGCAAGAGTGTTATCAATTTGACCTTCATTTCAGCCCAGGTGTCTGGTAGTGGGTTTTGATATGTAAATCCAGTCAAGTACCAGGAATGCTTGGGCCTACTCAGGAATGCAAGTAATCTTCTTTGTCTTGACTTTTGGTGAAACTTCCTGGTATTTGGGGGTATAAAATAAACACTCTGCAACAGCTACCGGTCACTGTCTCTTCCTCAGAAGTGGTCCCCACCTGGTTTCCAGCTTTTTCCTTCTATCTCTGTGTCTTGTCTCTTTCTTTCATATTTCTCAATCCCCAGCTCCTCTACTCAAAGGACTGGATTATCTCTCTTTCCATGCTGGATGTGGAAAAGAGACCCCACCAGCTACCAATTAATCTTTTGCTTTTAAAAATTACAATGGATCCCAGTTTTCAGGTAATTGGTGTGCCTTGATTTAACAAAAGCTCACAGACAAGAATGTCTTTAAAGGAAATCTAGAACAGTTTCAACAAAATGATATCAGTATATCAACTCCTCCAACTACTGAGAGTCTACACTAAAGTATTCAAAATTTTATATAATAAGGCCTAAAATAAGAACCTGTTTTATTCATAATTTTTTCTAGAACAGATACAATTTTTATTGCTTTCTCTTGTCATGTTAGATGTTTTTATAAGCACTATAAATATATTAAAATGTTTTACAAAACAATTCTGGCCTAACAGAAAAGAAGAATCACTCTCTCTCCTAAGTACTGTGAAAGCCCCTTTCTTCTCCTTGGATGTTAAGTGCATGAGTGCTGTGTATGCTTTGAGTTTTGTGTTTTTCCAGCCTAACAGATCCAAACAGGAAGAATTTCCTAGGAGCAAAAAAAGTAACCATTTTTAAAAGAAGAAAGCCATCTTTCTTCAGAGTGATGTGGCTTTCATAAAATCCCAGGTGTTACTTTCTGGCTGTTTGGCCTTACACATGGAACTTCACTTCCTGGGCCTGGGTTTTCTCTTTAGTAAAATGGCCACACAAAGGATATTCTCATACAGTAGAATGGGTGAGAGATTAAATTAGATAGCCTGTATACAGTCTGTAGTGCAGAACTGGGTATATAGTGGCTGTTCAAATAAATTCTGAGATCTAAAATCAAATGCAATGAATGGTGTAAGATTATGTTATTAATCATATTTTGTTTGGCTACGGTAAAATTAATTCAAAATCAAGTCACAATATTGAATTTCCTTTATACCTATAGCATTCTGACCTGCCATTTGGTCATTTGTAAACACATTCTATTTCTTCTACTAAATTGTAAATCTCAGGGGGGGAGGAGCAAGATTTGGTTAATGTGGCAATCACTGCCTTGGGCCCAGTTATGAGTAAGACTGGTAGGCATTTAATTATTTTACTCAGAGCCTGACTTAAGACTACCATGACTTTAAAAGCATTCATTCTTTTTGGAAACGAAATAAAAGATTCTAACTTTCTCCCCTCTGACCATATCCTCAATCCTTATGCGTAAATGATTCAGGATAGCTCTTGCACAGATATCTAAGTGAACTGAGGGATTGATACATATTGCCACTTCTCATTCATTTATTCACTCATCCACCCACCCATTCATTCATTCCACCACTAATGAGTCTGTACCTATGAATTGTTCTAGTTCTATGGAAATAGTAGTAAACAGGACAAAATCTCTCTGATCCATTGTAAATTAAAAAACTAAAAACCTTCCCTGAGTAGTTTTGGAATAATGGGAGCTAAAACAGATTGAGGGATCACTCCAATCATTGTGTAAATAAGGAACAGGCAGGGGCAGAGCAATAGGCAAGTACAGAAAGAGAGACCTTCTGAAGTGTATCAAGCTGAATTCTGGAAGCTTTGGGAGAGTGGTTGAAGTGCTGGTGGTAAGAAGGGGTTGATCTGGGAATATGAGGTTGACTAAAAGAATTTGTTGATGAAACAGATGTAAAGTGTAAGAGGATGGTAGTAAAGAAGGATGTCTCTCCAGTAGCTCTACCCTCAGCAACTGCATGAATACACTTGCTATTTACTGAGATAGGAATGCATGTGGAAAGAGCAGAGGTTGAACATGTTCAGTTTGAGGTGCCTGTTAAACACCCAAGTTGGCTCCTCAGCTATGCAGCATGATGATTGTGTCTGGAGTTAGGAGAGAAGTCAGCTAGAGATGTATATTTGAGAGTTGTCAGCTTATAGATGACATTCCAAGCCAGAATGGGGTGAGGACTTAGTTCGATAGCATTCCATGTGTAGATGTTGAAGGGATGAGAAGCATTCAGGAAAGAAGTGGGTGACAGAGTGGCCAGTTTGGCTGGAGTACCAAGAGAGTGTTGTCTTGAAAACCAAGAGAATAAAGTGTTTCTAGAAGATTTATACACTGCAAATTCTTTCCATCCACAGATTCTCTTGACTCTATCTTCCAAATATATACAGAATGTGACCTCTGTTCATACCACCAAGTCTCCAATGCATTGCACACTGTGATCACTCTACCTTCCAAATATATACAGAATGTGACTTCTGTTCACTACCACCAAGTCTCCAATGCACTGCATGCACATTGTAACTTAACTTTTCAAAGGATGAAAAGTTAAGTTAGAACATATCCATTATCTGTTCAATGTTGCTGATAGCTCCACAAGGGGAGGAGTGTGTGTTGATCATTTGATCTTACAGAAGAGAGATACTCATTGGCAACCCAGAATGGAGCAGTTTAGATGGGCGATAGGGAAGAAATCTCATTCTAGTGGAGTCAAAATATAAAGGATAAGTCAAAACACATTTCTAAAGGTGTTCAACCTCATGAGTATTCAGAGGAAAGGAGATTATGTGGCCACAAGTGCATATCACACTATGCAACCACAAAATCCTATCTAATAAAAGAATAATATTCAAATTAACCATCTCCATTACATCCACAAGCCAATCAGGAGCAAATATGCAAATTAATCCAACCAAGATGGCTATGGCCACAGAGAGCAGGAGGGAGGCTTGGGTTTTCCTGGTGATGGAGCAAGAGGATTTGTGATTGGCAATGGCATATGGGAGACTTCTATGGAGTCAAAACTATTGATTACATGATCAGAGTTGTACTTACACAGCTTTCTCTCTCCTTTCTTGCTCTCTCCAATATTAATAAAATTAACCCTCTTCACCATTTCTAAGTGTACAGTTCAGTGGCATTAAGTACATTTACATTATTGTGCAACCATCATCAACTCCACTTCCAGAACTTTTTCATCATCTCAAACTGAAACTGTCTTCATTAACTAGTCCTATTACTCCTTTCCCAGCTCCTGTAATCTCCACTTCATTATCTGTCTCTATGAACTTGACTATTTGAGGAACCTCATATAATTTAAGTCATAACACATGTCCTTTTTTGTGTGACTACCTGTTCTCTTTCAAATAATTTACTGAAAAAATATATTTATGTTTTATTCACATTTTGTGACTGTGCTATGATACAATATCTAAATTTCAGAAATGGAAAAAGTAGTGGTGCAAACTGGAACAGAATGTATATATATTTTCAAAGATTTTCATTATATAGGAAACAGAAATTTTAGATGGTGATTGGCAAGTGACGTGGGCTGAGAGTGATGGTTTGATAAAGATGAAACATTACTGCATATAATGATAATGGATCCAGCTGTTGAAATTCCCCAGTGTAACTTGCAGGTCCACTGGGACTTCTATGAGGTCCCCCTCGGTCCAAATCTCCATCCAGCCAGCACCACCTGTGTGTTTATCCCCCTAGTGAAGCTGTTGGCCAGGGCAATGATGTCCATCACTCTCTGGACCGTCTCATTGACGTTACTGCCCCACATTTGGAACCGCTGGTTGTTGACCACAACAAACATCTCCACGTACTTGGTGAGTGACCACAAGTAGGACAGCTCCTTTAGACCATTAGGCTTCCTGCTCCCTTTCTAACAGTCTGGCTTAAGAGATGTGTTTAACAATATAAAGCCTCATTGAGGGAACAAGAAAATCTTGAGTATAATGCCCATGTGTTACAGAGCAAGTTTTAGAAGAGGCAAAATGGGCAATGAAGTGTGCCCACCAATGATCTTCAAGCCCCTGGTCTAGAATATTAGGAGTTGGCCAAGCAACCGACACAGGAGGAGTGGTGTGTGTGTCGGGGGAGTGTTCCGTGTGGCACAGTTGAAGAAGGCCTGGAGGTTTTGTTTCCTCTCTCAGGGTACAATCTTGCAATTTAGATTTTGCAGTCCTTTTTATTATAACACACTATCAAAAGGACTGTAGCCAAGGTTCATTGGATCTAATCCCAGTGCCTAATGCTCTGCATGCCAAGGAGCACTTCTGCTCACGGACACAAGCCCTGCATCAGCTGACTCATTAGGGCCATGTCAGTGGCCTTTGTGAGGGACTCTACCTCCTCCTTGCCTTCTCTACAGAAGAATCAAGAGGTTATATATGAGGCTAGCAGAGTGCTTCAGACCTGGGCTGCCCAGATAAAGGGCTTGATGCTGGTACTGGTGCCAGGATGTTTACATGTCAGGTTGGGGATTGTGCTGGTGTTGGTACTGAGTTTCCTGCCAACCTTGTGCTGTGACCTGGGGTCAGTATATTCCTCATCCTATGAAATAGTCATCCCCAAGGCTCTGACAGTTGAGGGAAGGCAAGACCCAGAGGAAGAGGCATCTTATGTGATATCTACGCAGGGCGAGAAACAGCTGATTCATCTGAAAGTGAAGACAGACTATTTTATCAAGAACTTTCCAGTCTTCAGCTACCACAATGGCATCCTGGGACAAGAAATGCCTTTCATCTCACATGACTGTCACTATGAAGGCTACATAGAAGGAGTCCCGGGTTCTTTTGTTTCTGTCAACACCTGTTCAGGCCTCAGGGGCATCCTGATTAAGGAGGGAAAATCCTATGGCATTGAGCCCATGGACTCTTCAAAACAGTTTGAACATGTGTTGTACACCATGGCCCATCAAGCTCCAGTCTCCTGCAGTGTCACTTCCCAAGACAGCCCAGTGGTGTCTGCCAGCCGACAACAAGGGAGCAGGAAGCCTGGCGGTCTGCAGGAGCTGTCCTCCTTGTGGTCACTCACCAAGTACGTGGAGATGTTTGTTGTGGTCAACAACCAGCGGTTCCAAATGTGGGGCAGTAACGTCAGTGAGACGGTCCAGAGAGTGATGGACATCATTGCCCTGGCCAACAGCTTCACTAGGGGGATAAACACACAGGTGGTGCTGGCTGGGATGGAGATTTGGACCGAGGGGGACCTCATAGAGGTCCCCGTGGACCTGCAAGTTACACTGGGGAATTTCAACAGCTGGAGACAAGAGAAGCTCCTCCATCGTGTGAAGCATGATGTTGCCCACATGATTGTAGGACAGCATCCTGAGCACGGTATGGGACAGGCATTTCTCAGTGGTGCATGTTCCCGAGGTTTTGCAGCAGCTGTTGAATCCTTCCCTCATGAAGATGCCCTCCTGTTTGCAGCGCTCATGGTCCATGAGCTTGGGCACAACTTGGGTATTGGGCACGACCACTCAGCCTGCATTTGTAAAGACAAACACCTCTGCCTCATGCGTGACAATATCACTAAAGAAAGTGGCTTCAGCAACTGTAGCTCTGACGACTTCTACCAGTTCCTCCAGGATCACAGAGGGGCCTGCCTATTTAACAACCCTCAGCGGCACAAAGGCCGCTTGCGTAGGGATTCCTACTGTGGAGATGGTGTGGTGGAGGGTGAGGAGCAGTGTGACTGTGGTTCTGCCTGTTACACTGACCCATGCTGTGACCAAACATGTATCCTGAAGGGGAGTGCAGAATGTAGTGATGGACTCTGCTGCTTTGGTTGCCAATTGAGAAATAAGGGATTCGTGTGCCGTTCTGCTTCAGGAGAGTGTGACCTCCCAGAGTACTGTGATGGCAGCTCTGCAGAGTGCCCCACAGACACCTTTAAGCAAGATGGTACACCGTGCGATAGACTGCACATCTGTATTGGAGGTCAATGCAGAAACCCTGATAATCAATGCATGGCTATGTATGGGGACACTGCACGGTCTGCCCCAGAAAACTGTTACATTTCAATAAACAGCAAAGGGGACCGGTTTGGAAACTGTGGCCATCCCACTTCGGCAATGCCAAGATATATTAAGTGTTTTGATGATAATATATTTTGTGGGAAAATTATATGTACAAATATTAGACGGGTCCCATCCATCAAACCCCATCGCACACTGATCCAGATTCCTTACGAAGGTGACTTCTGCTGGAGCTTGGATGTCTATAACATTACTGATATCCCTGATGAGGGAGATATGCACTCTGGCACTGCTTGTGCCCCAAACAAAGTCTGCATGGATTACTCCTGCACTGATCATGTTGTGCTCAAGTATGACTGCAAACCAGCAGAAATGTGCAATGGGAGAGGAGTCTGTAACAATTTAAGGCACTGCCACTGTGAGGCTGGCTATGCACCGCCTGACTGCCAAACCCCAGGAAGTGGGGGCAGTGTGGACAGTGGTTCTCCTGGCAAAACAGAGGTTGAAAATCCAAGTGAGGATGAAGGGAACAGTTATAGTGTTGCTCGTGGTAGTTTTGGCAGAGGAGAGAATAGGGATGAAAGCAAGACCATAGGACAGTTAGTGTACATATTCCCCTTGCTTCTTTTAGCTATATTTTTATGTCTAATTATAGGTGTCTGTTTTGGGGCTAGAAATGATTTTTCACAGTGCTCAGAAGAGGCCCCAGAAGAAAGTGAAGAAGAAGTTGCACAAGAAGAGGAGAAAGTCATAGGAGAGCAAACCCCAACAACAGAAAATGAGTAGTGACAGGAACAAGTTTTCTATAAGAAACTATTCATACACTTGGCCAGAAGGAGGCTCATTAGAACAAATCTGAAGTAGGTTTTGAGAGTGGCAGTGGCTCTGATTGAAACTCTAAAGACTGCAGAAATATACTAATGTGGGCGGAGGAATTTTATTCTTCTTTTAGTAATTAATTATATATGCATATAAAAAGCATTTAGAAAACATTTTTACATTTTATAAAACCATTTAAATAAACTTTTCTTATGAATAATTCCTGTAATGTATTATCTTAGTAAAGCCAATTTTTGAGTTGCCAGTTTTTCAGAGAATGCCACCTTCTATCCTCTTTGTTAGACATATATATCTGCGCTAGGTTTTTCATCCCAATCATAAATTTACATTATATTAGAAAGGTTGTTTGATTTGTTGCTCTATTTGAACTGGAGAAGTATACTCATGAAATAAAAAGATTTTAAATTAAAAAGTAAATAACAGTGTTCACATAAGGCATCATTTTAGGCTTTCTGTGGCCTATAAACTTTAGATTTGGGACTCTCTGGAAGGGCTCTATCTGACCCAGGGCGGTGTGATCACCCTGTGTCTAAGTACATGGGAGAGAGGCAAGTTTGTGCAGTGCTGAGTCTGGCAAAAGGCAAGCTTGTGCAGTGCTGAGTCTGGTTGGAAGTATTCATTTTTCCTTTTTTTTCTTTTTTACATCTTATATTTCTCATTTCCATTATTAAGTTATTATATTATTCCTACAACCCAAAGGTACAAAGCATTGGAGGATTGTTAATTGTTTATAGGAAATCACAAAGCCTGTAAAATAATAACATTATCAAGCCTGCCAAGACTATTCTAAAAACTTTACTAGTGTGGTCACTGTCTTAATTTAACTGTCCCATTCACTATATTAGACCATTTTCTACCACATGAGGAAATAAAGACAAGAGTTTTGCTCTAGAGCTAGTAAAAGGTGGAGCTTGCATCCCATTCTAACTATAAATGAATGTACCTTCTCTACTGCCTCATGAGCCTTTTCCTTTAGTAAAAAAGAAAAAGAAAAAAAGTGACCAAGACATCTGACTTATTCAGAACATGGCTTTTCCTTCATTGACTCTAATGAAACAAAAGCCTTAAAAATGGATGCTGCTCTCTATTATGAACCTATCACATTGTGTAGTCATTATTGGTGAAAGTGTCCTTTCCCCGTTACATTCTGACATCATGGAGGGGCAGGTTTGTATCTTGTTCAGCTCTGAGGGCCCCACTGGTTATAAGTGCTCAGTAAATATTGACCAAGGGGAAGATTTAGCCAGAGCCAACTAGAATGCAATTTTGCTAAAGTTTTACATTAAAAGGTTGCAAAAATTTTATACAAAATTTTACATTTTTAACTTGTTATATTTACAAACTTAATTTCAAAATAGAATCTTGGTATTCCATTGGGCAAATTTCTCACTGACATGTTTTGTCAAAAGCAAGATCAGATTATCATCAAGAAGGTTTGCAATATGCTGACTCTAAAAAATTAATACTATTCCACCCTGGACATTAAGATTTACATGTTTTTGAACTATGGAAGAATTTTAAGAAAGACCCAATACCATTTTTGTTATTTAATAAAATTATGCAAGTCCTACATGAAGTTGCGCTAGAGTGAAATAAATGAGGATATGAAGTTCTTGAATCAATTTGTGACCGACAAAGCCAAGATATATCTTGGCTTTGTCTGTTACAGTATCTTTTCATAGTTAGAAAACATGTTTAAATTTATGTAAGAAGAGAACATCAAAGGTGGAATCAGAGAAAACCAAGATGGCGGCATATGTAACCACCTAACTGCAGCCTCACACAACAATTTCAAAAAATACAACTAAAATATAAAGTGGACATTATCCAGAACTACAGGAAAGTTGACTGACTGGAAATTCTACAATGAGAAGGAAAGAGAAAACCAGAAGGAAAATCAGAGGAGCTGTAAAAGCCTAAGGTATGGAGACATGGAGCCAGAGAGGAGGGGTGGCTGAGTGCCTGGCTGGCGTTCCCTAGCTGGAAGGAGATAAAAGCTACGGACTGTGCTGAGCCCCAGTTCCGATTGCACTGAACCCCAGTTCTAGGCCAGACCCTGGGGACTCAGGCTCATATGGAGGGAGTCTGGGCTGTTAGGCAGAAACTCAGGGGAGTAGCTACTAATTTACACATCTGGCAGTTCCCCAGAAAAAGCCTCTTTCACAGGAAATGGCTTGCTATAAAACCATAGTAAAAAACAAAACAAAACAAAAAATGGCACGCCCTGACTGGTTTGGTTCAGTGGATAGAGTGTTGGCCTGCGGACTCAAGGGTCCCAGGTTCAATTCTGGTCAAGGGCATATACCTTGGTTGTGGGCACATCCCCAGTGGAGGGTGTGCACGAGGCAGGTGATCAATGTTTCTCTCTCATCGATGTTTCTAGCTCTCTATCACTCTTCCTTCTTCTCTGTAAAACATCAATAAAATATATATTTTTTAAAAAAACAGGCACAAGTTTCCTGGCATTGGATTTGGAAAAGATTTCTCACATATGACACCAAAAGCACAGGTAAAATAGACAAAAATGGAGTCCATGAAAGAAAATCGTGGGTCAAAAACCACTATGAACAGAGAAAAAAGGTAACACAAAGAATGAAAGAAAATATTTGAAAATCCAATAGCAGGGAAGAGATTAATGTCCAGAATATACAGAGAACTGCTAAGCCTCAACAAAAGAAAAACCAACAACCTAATTCAGAAAATGAACAAAGGACTCAAATGAATATTTCTTCAATAAAGATCCGCAAATGGCCAATAAGCACAGGAAAAGATACTCAATAGCACTGATCTTTGGAGAATGCAAATCAAAACTACAATGAGGTATCACCTTACACCTTATAAAAGAAAACCACAAACCAGTAAATAACAAGTGTTGGATAGGATATGAAGAATATGGAAGCTCTTGTGTACTGTTGGTGGGAATGTAAAATGGCACAGCCTCTGTGGAATACAATATGACAGTTGATCAAAAAATTAAAACTAGAATTACCATATGGTTCGGCTATATAATTTCTGTGTATATACCCAAAAGAATCTAAAGTAGGGGCTTGAAATTATATTTTTATGTCCATGTTCATAGCAGCATTATTTACAACAGCTAAAATAAAAGCAATGTAAGTGTCCATTGAAAAACAAATGGATGAATAAAGTATCCCTTGACAAATGAGTGGAAGGAGCAAAGTATGGTATGTACATACACGGGAATGTTTTCACCTCTTAAAAGAAAGGAAATTTTGCAATATGCAACAACATGAATGAACCTTGAGGACACTGTGCTAAGTGAAATCAGCCAGTCATAGAAAGACCGATACTATATGATGCCACTGTATGAGGTACTCAGAGTAGTCAAAATTATAGAGACAGATGTACAATGGCAGCTGCTAGGGCAGGGGAGAAGGATGCAACAGGGATTTATAGATTAATGAATACAGAGTTTGAGTTTTACAAGAAGAGTCTGAAGATGACTACTGGTGACAGTAGCACAACATTATGTACTTAATACTGCTCATTAAGGGTAGACTTAAAAATAGATGAGATATAACTTTTGTATCTTATATAAATTTATTTAATACAATAAAGTAAATTGGAAGAAAAAATGAAATATTTCTTGCTCTGGCCAGGTTACGCAATTTGTTAAAACATCATCCCTTATACCAAAAAGGTTCCAGGTTTGATTCCCAGTCAGAGAACATATCCAGGTTGCAAGTTTGATACCTGATTGGGGCACATATAGAAGGCAAAAGATTGATGTTTTTCTCTGACATTCATGTTTCCTCCTTTCTGTTCCTCTCTCTCTCAAATCAATAAAAACATAATGTCAAGTGAGGAATTTTTTAATAAGTGAAATACTTCTCCACTGTAAGAGACACTGTCAAGAAAGTGAAAACATAGCCCACAGAATGAGAACAAAAATATCTGCAACTCATATCTTATAGGAACTAGTAGCCAGAAAATATTAATGAATCTTAAAATGAACAAGAAAAAGACGCCCGGTTTTCTAAGGGCAAAGGATGTATATAGACATTTCTACAAAGGATATATAAATGACCAAAAAGAATATGAGAAAGTCTGCCACATTAGGGAATTGCAGATCAAAACTACAATGAGATACCACTTCAAGTACATTAGAATGGCTATAATTTAAAAAAATAGGCTAACGGATATCAGTGATGATGATGAGAAATTAGAATCCTTCCTCACTGCTGGCAGGAATATGAAATTGTGCAGCTTCTTTGGAAATAGTTGGGCAATTACTCAAGAGGATAAACGTAGAGTTCTCACATGACTAAACAATTCCACTCCTAAGTATGTACCTAAGAGAAATGCAAATATATGTCCATGCAAAAACTTGTACTCAAATGTCCATTGCAATATTATTCACAATAGTCCCAAAATAGAAACAACCAAAATTTTAATCAGCTGATATATCTAATAAAAAATGTGGTATATGCACACAAAAATAACATTATTTGGCCAAAAAATGGGAATCTTTGACATAATCTACCACATGGCTGATTCTTGGAAACATTATGCTAGGTGAAATAAGCCAGTCATAGAAAATTACCACATGTAGCATTCCACTACTATGAAGTGTCCAAAATAAACAAAATCATTGAGCTAGAGAGTAGAATAGTGGTAGCCATGAGCTGTGGGGAGGGGAGGATAGGGAGTGACTGCTAATAGATACTAGAGTTTTCCTTGGAGGTGAGAAAATGTTCTAAAATTGATTTGATGAAAGACATAACTTTCTGAATACAGTACAAACTACCGATATGTACACATTTAAGGATAAATTTTAAGGTATTTGAATTACACTGAGTGTCCAGATTATTATGATCTATGAATGCATAATAATCTGGCCACTCAGAGTGTGTGTGTGTGTGTGTGTATGTGTGTGTGTGTGGGTGTAATTCGTGCATGGATGGGGTCCAGCCACCCTGGCTAGGGGGAGGGGACATGGGCAGTTGGCTGGCCTGCTTGCTGGTCGAATTATTGGTAGAGGGGACAATTTTCATATTAGCCTTTTATTATATAGGATATACACTGAGTGGCCAATTATACATTCAGAGATCATAATAATCTGGCCACTCATTGTATATCTCAATAAAGATGTGATTAAAAAGCAAATAAAATAAAATTACAAAATTCTGCAGTGCATGTTTAAGAAGCAAATTGAGAAACAAAAGTGAAAAAGTAGATATCATAAAAGAAAGGGTCATAATTATCTCTGAAGCAGGAAGACTTGTAATTGGCAATAGCACATGGGTAACTTCAATGAAGTTAAAAACTGTTCGTTACATGATCAGAGTTGTACTTACCCTTATACGCCAGAAAATACGGTAAACGCGCTCGCGCTTACGAGCGTGCGCGCTCGCTCTCTCTCGCTCTCTCTCTCTCTCTCTCTCTCTCTCTCTCTCTCTCTCTCTCTCAAATATTCATAATGTAAAATTAACCCTCTTTACTATTTCTAAGTGTATAGTTCAGTGGAATTAAGTACATTTACATTGTAGTGCAACCATCAACATCCACTTCCAGAACTTTTTCATCATCTCAAACTGAAACTGTCTTCATTAGCCAGTCTTTTTTTTTTTAATATATTTTTATTGATTTTTTTACAGAGAGGAAGGGAGAGAGATAGAGAGCTAGAAACACCCATGAGAGAGAAACATCGACCAGCTGCCTCTTGCACACCCCCTACCGATGTACATGCCCCTGACCGGAATCCAACCTGGGACCATCCGACGCTCTACCACTGAGCCAAACCGGTTTCGGCATTCATTAGCCAGTCTTGTTACTATTTCCCCAACTCTTATAACCTTCACTTCACTTTCTGAATCTATGAACTAGACTACTTGAGGAACCTCATAGAAATTAAGTCATAACATACGTCCTTTTGTGTGTGATTGAGTTGTCTTCTAAATAATCTACTGAAAAATATATTTGTTTTATTCATATTTTGTGACTGTGATATAATTCAAAAGTTAAATGTCAGAAAAATAAATAAGTATAAATGAAATATTATATATATACAAAATATATTTCCAAAGAGTTTCATTATATATGAAACAGAGAGATTTTAGATGGTAACTGGAGAGTAATGTGGGCTGTGAGTGGTCGTTTGATAAAGATGAAACATTACCTCATATAATGAGACTGGATCCAATGGAAAAACACATGTTTCAGAAATAAAAAACAGAAGGGATAATTGGAAAAGCGAAGTCATGAGAAATTGAAAGGGAAGTAGACCCTACATACAAGTAGGAAGATTAGCCTTAGATTGGAGTATGGACAATTTATCCACCAGAGTTGTAGAAAAAATTAGATGCAAGCAACTCAAGTGGTGTCTCCAAGTGAAAGTACTCTTTATTGCTTTTATTTTTCTCAATAAAATATGAGGCACAAAGACATTAGGAAAGTGAACTGAACAGCAAAATGTAGGAAGAGAGAGATACATTTTGAGGTCAAGAATGTGTTGTGGGTTTTTCTATAGATTCTTTCTTTCTTTCTTTCTTTCTTTCTTTTTTTTAACAGAGTGTTACATTTTTTATTCACTTATAAACTAAAAATCCATTTCTAGATGTTTCTCTTGGTACACTTCATATGTTTTATGAAGTGTACCATAAGGTCTATATAAGGTGCCTTCACCTAGTCCTCAGATCCAGACCCATCTTCATCTTGACTAATCTGGAAGTAACGAAGTTCATACGACACGAAGCCAATCACGAAGACTATTCTTCTTGAGGTATTTCTTGGTAAGGTATTTCAAATATCTTTTAGAGAATTGTTTCTCAGAAACAACTGTGATTTTATTCTTGAAGCGTTCAATGTGAACAACATTCCCAAGATTTCCAGTCTTCCCATTGACTTTAACCTTCCATAGAAACTGTATGGACAATTTATCCACCAGAGTTGGAGAAAAACTTAGATGCAAGCAACTCAAGTGGTGTCTCCAAGTGAAAGTACTCTTTATTGCTTTTATTTTTCTCAATAAAATATGAGGCACTAGGGAAGGTACCAAAATTTGCAGCGTCAAAAATGCCATCTTCTACTGGATAAGTAAGGTCCAAACCAAACTTCCAGGTTGTCCTCTTAGGCTTCTTGGCTTTTATTCGTTCCCTTCATTAGAAGATTTCAAGGAGTCCTATTTTTACAACTGGGAAGGATTAAGAGGATCCATGCACTTCCTACTACAAGTGAAAGCTAGAAACACCCACCCTGGTGTTTGAACCTCTAACTGAGCACACTGGACGTCTGATTTCAAATTACCAGGCACCTTTGCTTCCAAGACAGGCACCGCCCTACCACTGGCATCCCCACTGCGGACGGGGACCAGCGCTCCGCCAGGTCAGAGCTCACCTACATTCATTTTCTCAGGGCAGGTGTGAAGAGAGCACAAACAAATAACTACATGACAGCACCCTTACCTGGGAATCATTTATTCATTCAATAAGTAATTCTAGTTCATCTACTTTTTAACCTAGACATATAAAGATTAAACAGAAGTGGACACTGGACACATGTAGGTCACTTTCAAACAAAGAGTAAACCTAGACTTCAACTGGCATAATTTTATGGTACCAATATGTCTGGGTCATCCAGAGAAGGGCCTGGAGATACCAGTCGATATGCCCATGAAAATCACACAGTGAAGGCTGCTCTGTCAGCATCTCCCATACACATTTTTGGCAGCGTTATAAACAGAACTTGAGACTGAATTTTGATGATATTAAAAAAAATTTGGAGTATTGTCCCTTGCCTCATGGTCTCCAGTCCATTTGGGTCTACCCTGGGGTAAAGGGCAGCCACCTCCTTGCCTATCTAACAGTCTGGCCTGAGGCATGTGCATATCACTAGAAAGCCTCACTGAAAGATCAAAAACATTGTGAGTTTGATGTCCATGTGTTACAGAAGAGTTTTAGACATGGTGAAATGGGCCATTGAGTGTTCCCACCACTGATCTTCAAGCCCCCCTGTCTGGAACATTAGGAGTTGGCTGAGTAACGGACACAAGAGGGGAGGGGGAGGGTCTGTTCCGTGTGGCACAGTTGAGGAAGGCACAGAGGTTTTATTTTCTTCTCAAGGTAAAAATCTTGTATTTTAGAGTTTGTAGTCCTACTTTGTGATTACATCACCAGAATATCAAAGGACTGTAGCCAAGGATCACTGCAGCTAATAATGTGGAAGGAAGCTGCAGAAGGGACACTATCTGAAGGATAACAGAGAAGTCAGAGAGATTAAAAAAGACACAGCCAGAGGTAGGCAGTTGCTCTCAGAAGGTGATAGTACCCACCCTTTATGTAGCCAGCATATACTTGGAATTAATCCCAGTGGCTAAGGATTTGCATGTCAAGGAGTGCTGCTGCTCATGGACACAGGCCTTGCATCAGCAACTGATTCACTGGGGCCATGTCAGTGCCCACCTTTGTGAGACACTCTGCCTCCTCCTTGCCTTCTCTACAGAACCAAGAGGTTATATATGAGGCTAACAGAGTGCTTCATACTTGGGATCCCGAGACAAAGGGCCTGGCGCTGGTACTGGTGCCAGGATGTTCACGTGTCAGGTTGGGGATTGTGCTGGTGTTGGTACTGAATTTCCTGCCAAGCTTGTGCTGTGACCTGAAATCAGTATATTCCTCATCCTATGAACTAGTCATCCCCAAGGCTCTGACAGTTGAGGGAAGGCAAGACCCAGAGGAAGAGGCATCTTATGTGATATCTATGCAGGGCGAGAAACAGCTGATTCACCTGAAAGTGAAGACAGACTATTTTATCAAGAACTTTCCAGTCTTCAGCTATCATAATGGCACCCGGGGACAAGAAATGCCTTTCATCTCACATGACTGTCACTATGAAGGCTACATAGAAGGAGTCCCGGGTTCTTTTGTTTCTGTCAACACCTGTTCAGGCCTCAGGGGCATCCTGATTAAGGAGGGAAAATCCTATGGCATTGAGCCCATGGACTCTTCAAAACAGTTTGAACATGTGTTGTACACCATGGCCCATCAAGCTCCAGTCTCCTGCAGTGTCACTTCCCAAGACAGCCCAGTGGTGTCTGCCAGCCGACAACAGGGGAGCAGGAAGCCTGGCGGTCTGCAGGAGCTGTCCTCCTTGTGGTCACTCACCAAGTACGTGGAGATGTTTGTTGTGGTCAACAACCAGCGGTTCCAAATGTGGGGCAGTAACGTCAATGAGACGGTCCAGAGAGTGATGGACATCATTACCCTGGCCAACAGCTTCACTAGGGGGATAAACACACAGGTGGTGCTGGCTGGAGTGGAGATTTGGACCGAGGGGGACCTCATAGAGGTCCCCGTGGACCTGCAAGTTACACTGGGGAATTTCAACAAGTGGAGACAAGAGAAGCTCCTCCATCGTGTGAAGCATGATGTTGCCCACATGATTGTAGGACAGCATCCTGAGCACGGTATGGGACAGGCATTTCTCAGTGGTGCATGTTCCCGTGGTTTTGCAGCAGCTGTTGAATCCTTCCCTCATGAAGATGCCCTCCTGTTTGCAGCGCTCATGGTCCATGAGCTTGGGCACAACTTGGGTATTGGGCACGACCACTCAGCCTGCATTTGTAAAGACAAACACCTCTGCCTCATGCATGACAATATCACTAAAGAAAGTGGCTTCAGCAACTGTAGCTCTGACGACTTCTACCAGTTTCTCCAGGATCACAGAGGGGCCTGCCTATTTAACAACCCTCAGCGGCACAAAGGCCGCTTCCGTAGAGCCACGTGTGGAGATGGTATGTTGGATGAGGGTGAGGAGTGTGACTGTGGTACTGAATGTGCCACAAACAATTGCTGTGATGATAAATGTTTGCTGAAGGCTGGTTCAAAGTGTAGTCCAGGACCTTGTTGTAATGATAAGTGTGAAGTTCAACCAAAGGGCTTCATTTGTCGTGCTGCTCGCGGAGAGTGTGACCTCCCAGAGTATTGTGATGGTATCAATGCACAATGTCCCGAAGACTTCTATATGCAAGATGGTACACCATGTAAAGGATATTACTGTGTAAAAGGTGTGTGTAAGAACCCTAATACTCAATGCGAAGAATATTTTGGGACCTCTTCAAAATCTGCTATAGATGAGTGTTATGAAATAGTAAACACGGTTGGAGACCGGTTTGGAAACTGTGGCCTTCCTACTGCTACTAACCAAGACTATGTTAAGTGTACAAAAGACAATATGCGGTGTGGGAAAATTTTATGTACAGATATTAGAAGTATGCCACAAATCAAACCCTTTCATACAGTGATCCAGATTCCTATTACTGAAAACTATTGCTGGGCCATGAATTACTATGACACTGCTGATGAAGAAGAAAACGGAAATGTGAACTATGGCACGACTTGTTCCCAAGGCAAAGTCTGCGCAAATGCATCCTGCACTGATTATGCTGTGCTCAAGTATGACTGCGATGTAAAAGCAATGTGTAATGAGAATGGAGTTTGCAATAATTTGAAGCAATGCCATTGTAGGACTGGCTATGCACCCCCTGACTGCAAAAACCTAGGAGATGGGGGTAGTTTGGACAGTGGTCCCCCTGCTAAGCCACTTGATGAAAAGCCAACAGAGGGTGCAGTTAATGCCACTACCAAAACTGAAGAACCTGAAAGTATATTAGACAGTTTGATCTTATCATTCGTAGTACTTTTTCTCATAATATTAGCAGCTGCTGGTATTGCCACGTGCGTCCTTTGTATAGTTTTAAAAGAAAAGCCCACAGAAAAGAAGCCTCCAGAGGAGATGCCCCCAGGAGAAAAGGGAAAAGGGGAGGAGGAGAAAGAAGAAGATGAGGAATAAAACAAGTAGTGGGAGGAAGAAACCAAATATATAAAAAACTTCAAACAGTGACCAGGAACCAGAAGTTCAATGACACAAAGGTGAAGTGAGAATTGATATCTTCATGGCTCTGGCTAGGATTATATAAGAGTATAAACAAAAGTTATACTCATTTTATAACAGTATAGAAGCTGAAACTAAAATTTTTTCTTTAGTTTGAAAATAAACTAATATGAGAAGAGGGATACTCTCATTTTCATTATTCATTTTAGTAATTAAGGTTCTATTTACTTAACATAGTACATATTTTACTACTTTTGCTTTTTAACATTTCATTTGAACTCTTCGCATGCATCTTCTGACATCAATGTCTTTGTCTTGGGCCATTTTCTAATTAAATTATTTGCTTTGATATTGGTGAGAGGTAGAGTTCTTTATATATTCTAAGTGTTTTTTTAATTAGATAAGTTGTTTACAAATATTTTCTCCCCCTCCATAGCTTATCTTCTCATCCTTTTAACAAAGTCATTCACAAACAAAGATTTTTACTTTTGATGCAATCCAACTTATGGAGTTTTCTTTAATGAATCATGTTTTTGGTGTCATGTTTAAGAATTCTTTACCAAGCCTTAGCTCCTAAAAACATTTGTTTTCTTCTAAAAAAGTTTCATAGTTTTATATTATATTTTATAATTAAATTTACAATCTATTTTGAAGTGATTTTTGTATAAAGTGTGGAGTTTAGGCTGAGGTTCTTCTTTTTTTTTTTTTTTTTTCTTTTTTTCTTTTTTACTATATATACCAAACTTTCTAGTACCATTGATTGAAGACTGTCCTTTCTTCACCCAAATTTTTGCCCTTTTGTAAAAAAGCCATTGGCCATACATGTATGCATTCTATTTCTGGGTTCTCTATTCTGTTTCATTGATCTATGTGTCTCATCATCAATATCACAGCCTTAAAATTGAGTAGAGTAGTTCCTCCGATGTTATTCTTCTCCAAAATTATTTTAACTATTGTATTTCCTTGCCTTCTGGAAAATTTATATTCACAATAAATATTTCACAATATACCCATATAACAAATATCAGGTTGTACACTTTAATACATATATTTTATTTGTGAATTATTCCCCAAAGAAGCTGAGGGAAGGGGAAGTTGAGGAAAGAAAATGCCAAAAGTTTGACAGAAAAAGAAGAAAAAACATGAACAGACAATTATTTAAAAATATAGAAATGTTCATGTGGTAGAAGCTTACTGGTAGAAAAACCAAAAGGAAGAGCTCCATTCATAAACATTCTGTCCAATTCCAGGAGCCTTGTGTATCAATTTTTCCTCCCTGAAAACACTCTTTCCCCAATCAATTGTTACAGGAAAACAAACTAAAATCACTATCCTATATAATAAAAGGCTAATATGCAAATTGTCCCCTCAATGGGGAGTTGACCAGGAGTTTGACCAAGGGGTGGGGCAAGCCGGGCAACTACCCATGGCCCCTCTGCCTGGCCTGCCCAGCCCAATCAGCCCAATTGGGGCAGGCCAGGCAGTCTCCATCTATGCACAAATTTGTGCACAGGACCTCTAGTCAGATAATAAATACTAAACTCCTATTTGACCAAAACTAAAAATATAAAAATGGTCCTTAAACATATTAAAACATGTCCAAAATCATTCAAACTAGAAAATACAAATGAACACTAAAATGCTATTTGTCACCTATCAGTTTGGTGAAAATTAAAATATTTTGTTTCTTAGACTGTAGGAGCAGACATTAATACATTGCTAGTGGGAATGCAAACTGGCAAAACCCTTCTGAAAGAGGATTGGCAATATCAAACAAAGTTACAAAAGCAGTTAGCACTGCCTTCCCCTTTCTAGGATTATTAATGCATGTGTGTAGTTTCAAAACAATGTAAACAACTAAAAGGATATACACAAGAGGATGATTGAAAAAATTAAGGAATATCTACAAGATGGAGTACTATGCAGCTGTAAAGAAAAATGAGAAAGATCTTTATAAACTTTTATGGAGTGATTTATAAGATTAATAATGTAAGTTTAAAAAGGAAAGTGTAAAATGTCACGCTACTTTTACATAAGAAGGGATAAAAGAAAGTATACATATATCTGCTAATTTGCAGAAAGAAATTAAAAAAACAACAACTAAATACTATTGAGATTGGTGAGTAGAATCTGGATGGAAAGAATGAGGACATGGGAACAGGTTAAAGACTAAAGGAGGTATACTTGGAGTACATTTTTTTCTATAGTGCTAACTTTTAGAATCATAGTAACATTTTATAAACCAAAAGGAAATACAAGCAGTAATATATGAGCCATACTATAATAAAAATGAATAATATAACCACACTGAATAGGTCTAGATGGAAAAGTATTAACCTAAATAATTTTGAAGAACATTATTTTGACCTCATACTGGAAGGCTAAATATAAAAATAACTCAACACAAACATGGTTCTCTAGTTCATATATTTGCTTTTTACAGAGGCAGGGTTAGTTATTCTAAAAATAATTTACATATATTCTAGGATTGAGCAAATAAGTATATATATTGTGAAAAATAGAGGAAAAAGAGAAAAGGATCAGAGGTTTGAAATGGGCTATATGGTACAGAGTAGGAAATGGTGCAAAAGGCATGGGACAGCAGAGGTCTGTGACCTAACCAAAGATCCAAAACCCCTGCTCTGGAACCTTTAGCTTCAATGACTCAAAAAAGTAATAGATGACAGGAGAAAGCTATTCCAGGAGAACAGGAACTGAGGAAAAAGTGGTTATGTAGTTTTTTCTTTTCTAGGAGTTAGATTCTGGGTCACAGTACTGGTTGGACTTCTGAAATTTTCTTCTCCTTGGTATACCCCCTTTATAAAAGATAGCAGGAGCACAGCTAAGGATCACTAAAAATTGTTCTTTGAGGGAGGTTGCAAAGTAAGGACACTCCTAAAGAAAGAGCACAACAGGAACAGGAAAAGACAAAGTCAAACAGCAGTTGTCATCATATAATACTCAGGAATAAGAGCAACTGTCCTTTTAGTATGCACTGCCTTCCAATTTTGGGGGAGAAATATAACACTGTCCAAACTGGCATAGCTTTGAGGTCCAGCCAAATGACTGTCTCAGACAGATTTGGGTTCCAGGGAATGCAAATGAGAGACAGAGGTCTGGGATCACTAGCTATTTCAGTTGGGCCATGACAATGACAATCCCAATTATTTACTTTGCCTCCTTCCCTGCCCTTTCTTCTATGAAATCAACTGGTTAGGGATAAGATTTGAAGTGATTTTTTTTTTCCAGAACTTCCCAGGTAGGATGCTTGAGAATGGGTTCTTCCCATATTAAACTACATGTCATCTTATAGCTAGTAGTAACTATACTTCAATGGATGCATGTTTATTAGGAGATACTCATCCATAGAAATCTAACAATGTTCAGACAATTGGAAGAAAAAGCATAAGATGTGGCCTATGACCTATCTGCTGATTCAAGGAAAATGGAGTATTATTAATTTGAATCAAAAGAAAGTCTTATTTGTCAAGAACTTCCCTAGTTATACACTTCAAAATAGAAAACTGGGTTTGGGCATGCCTTTTATTCAGGATGGGTATTCAGAGGTGATCTGGATTCTCTTGCGACTCTTGGCACTTGCTCAGGGCTAAAGAGAATCTTGACTTTACATGGTATTCTTTCGCATCAAGACTATACTTCAAAAACTTTTGAGCTTATCATTTATAGCCTATCTTTAAAATCAGGTCTTGTGAAGATAAAAATTGTGAAAACTCAACCATTTCACAATTTCAGAGCTGAATAGGACCATCTTCAGATACTATGCCCAAATGTGGACATTTCCCAAGTATGTTAAAGTGTTATTGTTGTTGACAATAAGCAATTCCAAAGAATAGTGTTACCAAGACAATATGATATAATGGATGCCCATGCCCTGGTCAACAGGTACATGAAGGAGCTAAAAGTGAAAGCAATATTTACTAGACATGTGGACAGAGAGAAACCTAATGAACACAGCCCTGTGTAGGGAGTACTTTAAATGTTTCACTTCTGGAGAGACTAGCATATTTTGAGAAGGGTGAAGCATAATGATGATTATTGGCCAAAGTCTTGGGAAGTACCAGGACCATTCATTTCTCAGTGATATCTGCACTATTTAGAATGCAATCCATTTTGAATCTTTCTCTAGAAGATATGCCACATTACGCAACTGTCATAGCTCATGAGTGTGGCCACAACTTGAGAATGAAGCATGACCATGTGTCCTGCAGATGTCATGGCCAGACCTCTGAATTATACATAAACTTACTACTGTAAATATGGGCCTCAGCAACTGCAGCTTCCACTATTTCCACAAGCTGTTACATAAGCACAAATGGGACTACCTATTTCATAAAACTTAGTTCCAAAGCTCCTTTGGAAACTCATATAATGGGAATAAAAGAGTGGAGGGTGAAGAATGTGATTATGGTAGTATCCTTGATTGTCCAAAAATCACTGTTGTTTGCTGGTTGAAGGGTTCAGTATGTACATTTGGATCCTGCTGCAAGAACTGCTGACTTCTAAGGGCAACTACACCTTGCCACTTCAGATCTCCAAGAATACTGTTATGGTGCCTCCATTACAGACAAATACCTACAAGCAAGGTACAGACATAGTGCAGATAAATACCTACAAGAAAGATGGTGCCCCTGGCAAATAACAAGGTTATTGTTATCAAGGCTGGTAGCAAAGCCTAGAGAATCAGTGTGTTAAAATCTTTGGAAAGGGCACAGAAGTTGCTCAGGAAAGTTGCTATCATCACATGAATACCAGGAGAGACAGGACAAGTCTAGAAACTGTGGTAGTGAATCTAAAGGGATTTTTAAGGTCTTCAGCAATTGTGACATAAAATGTGGTAGGGTGCTATGTGAAAACATCTAAAAGTTCCCACATATTGAAAAACATCAACACTTGGTTCCTCATACAGGTCACATGGTGTTGGGATGCAGAGATGTTTTTTTAAGCCACAGACAGGACTAATGAGAAGTTGCTGAAGGTGGTCCACAGAAGATCTGTATAAATCAAACTTGCTAAGATACCACTAGATTTCACTATGATTGCAACCTTACCTAGTGTCATGGGAGAGGTATTTGCAACAATTTTAAGAATTGACACTGTGTCTATGTCTATCTACCTCCTCCATGTGAATCCAAGGTTACAAAATCAACCTAACCTAGGTCTTTCTTAGCCTTTTATTATTTCTAATTTCCACTATTTTTTTTTGTTTGCCTATATCCATAGAAGATTTAAGACTAGTGTCAATGCAAAAGATTCATCTTGCAAAAACAAAATGAACAAATCTGACAAATATTTGGTAATTACCATCTTTCTGGTAATAAATCCAAATATGAAGTAATAATAAAAGAATATTTTAAAAAATTGACTCCTTAGTTCTGGTGTCCCTCAAGGTCTATGGAGATGGGAATACTTTCTTGCTTCCATTTGTCTTTCTATATGCCAAATGCTTGTTAGTTTTTAAATTTAAAAAAAAAGGTAAAGTAGCTCCCTGGGTGAGGCAATCTTTCTTGTCCTATGCTACCCAGAAATCAACTCTCCAGAGCTTTGGGGCAATGACAAGACTTAAGATATAATGTTAACAGAACAAGGCCATGTTAACCTCCAGAATAAGGCTGAAACTCATGGCCTAAAATCTAAAGAGCTATTATTGAGCTCCCTAAAATTCCTATGGAGAGCTCCTTTGGAAAACTCTCTGGAACTTCCTTTTCAGAGTATCCTATAAAATCACCCATTGTAACCCATGTCAATTTTCTTTAATTTTTAAGTATTTTGCATTGGACACACCAAAGAATTTATCAGGTGAGAATTATATGATTATGAGTTCCAGATATTTTATCATTCCAGTCAGTTTTGTCCACTTGACTGTCCCCTTTGTTTTGGCATCATAGAACAAGCCTCAGATTGGATTTGTTCATAACTAGAACGATCAAACATTACTTGTTATGTGATTCAAGAAGAAACAGATTAGACATTCCAACCCATAAATGAGGCTCTAGTGTAGTAATCTTCATCCCCCCCAAAAAATTCAAATTCTACTTACTAGTCATTCATTCATTTATTCTATAAACATATTTAGCTCTGTTAAGTTGAACCATATAAAATTGATATTAGACCTTTTCACCTACAAACATGGCACGTTCAAATGATTAAACCTAATTCAATTTTCAGCACTATTAAACCTTCTTTGGACTTCTGTTTGTAAAGGACAGTTTAGAGTTTTTGATTCCTAGAGTTTCCTCTAGTCATGATTTCTCTTAAATCTTATTATCCCCTGTAACTTCAAAAGACTGATTTTAATTTTCTAGAGTAGGATGGTCCCTATTGTCAAGTCTTAGAATGGCACTGAACATATGAGATTAGACTATGGTGTATCTTAGGATCTCACTGCCACTTTTCTCATAGTTGTTGTCCTTGCTTATTCTGAGTTTCCAAACCTCTTCAAAGAACAGAAACTTCCTTTGTCCAACCTCAGAGACAGAAATAGCAATGACATCTGAAAAAACTGTTGCATGCCGCCCTACTTCACTTGAAACCATGGGAATAGAGAGCCTGGAAGTGGCATCTTACCTAATAATAGACAAACATGTAAATTGACTGTATCTCAGATACGCCACCAGCCAATCATGAGTGATATGCAAATTAACCCAACAAAGATGGCAGTTAATTTGGATACACAGGTACCTAGTGATGGGCATGAGATACTTGTGTCGTCGCCATAGCGACGATGCAGGCATTCTGTCCCACCTCCGGTCTCTCAGGGCCTCTGGGCAGTGTTGGAAAGTGGGGCTTGAGCAGAAAGGGGCTGGGCTGGAGTGGAAAAACGATGCTGGCAGCCAGGGAAAGGAAAGTCCATTCTAGCATGAATCTTCGTACATTTGGGCTTCTAGTGTATAAATAATAAACTATAATTAATTTTTTCCAAGAAAAGACTTAGACAAGTTTAATATTCACTAAGGTAATAAGTCCTTCTCTTAGATGGAAACTGGCTTCATCTCCTTGAACAAAGACTTCAAGAATCACTAGTAAGTCTGAAATTAATGAAAAGATCCTGCCCAATTTACCTAGAATGGCTACTAAACCATGGCACTATATTCCCTTTCATTTCCATAGTATAAGGCATTGTTATAAAAGACTAAAGATGTTTCCCAACACTTTTCCCAATCCTTTTGTGTGGAATAACTGCAGTTCCTATATCCCAGTACTAGTTTCAAAAAGTAGTGGAGGTGCTGGTAGCAAAAGCAAGGGTAGAGTCCAATGGATCTAGGGCCCTGCTATAGAATCTCTTCTGTGAGCATAATAATGGTGTCTGGGTGTCTGCATCACGCCGAGATTCTTGCTTTAGTTGAAAGAACTTGTACTGTGTCCATCCATATACTGCACAGTTGAGCAGACCCTGGGATGATGCTGTTAGAGCCTGGAGAAGATGAAGGGGTGATGGAGCCCATCCTTCAGATTTTCATAGATCCAGGAAATAGTTCCCATTCCCTTTATTTATAAAGCATTGTTATATTTCTTCTAACCCATACCTCAAGATCTAGCATCAGTTTTTAATATTTTTCTAGCTCTCCTGAACTCGCTCTTTACACTGTACCTTGTCATGTATGATTGAGAGAGAGTTGGTCATATTTTTTAGTGTTTACATAAGGATAATAAAGTGGTTTCAATGCCCCTCCTTATTGCCCCATTTTCAGGTCAGGATTGAGAAAACTGCCCTATCAGCTTAGTCAACCCAAGAGCCTTCTTAAATTTGATAAAGGAAGAAAGAGAATTGTCCCATTTCTTTACTACTTCTCCATTCACCTAAGAATAACTCATTTATCCAATTCAATTCACTCTGGATGGGAGAGAATCATGTCATTATTAGTGCTTCATAAGAACATTTTTTTGTTTTTTTGTTACTTATCCCTTAAACACACATCAATAAAATGAAGTTGACCAGCCATAAATATGCTCTGAAATGCATGGGAGCATTTTCACAAAGTATCTACCATATCTGTGAGGAAAATTTCACATCCTTTATAACTAAATATATTTTCTTTTTTGCAATGTAGAAATACCCTGATGGGAAAAAATTTTTGCTTACAGAGTTACGGCAGTATAAAATAATAGGAAAGGAGGGCATGAGAAATGCTAGATGTTGAAGATGTTACCTGAAGTACATAGAGGGCCATGTGAAGCTTGGTGTCCTGTGGCTCAATCAGCTTTATGATCATCAAAATGACAGCTATGAAAACACAAAGTATAAATCTTATCAGCCCTGGCTACCTGAGCATAAAATTCTTCCATAATACATGCCTAAGCATTGTTAAAATGGAAGCTATAGGCAGAATGAAGAGCAACAGTATGATTAAGCAGTTATGTAAATCACTGGGGCTTTGGGTCTCCAATTTTTACTCCTCAGTGATTAAACTTTACAGATTATTAGTGTAGCAATGGTGGCAAGACATACTACAGGAAGATAGTCACACTTTTTAACATTTTCAAGTTTATCAAGCTCTTTTATAAACATTATCCAATCTGACCCTTACTACAACTTTATGTAGCAGGAAGGACAGGTATTAGTATCTCTGAGTTCTGTCAGGACATTTCCTCTCACATTAAGTTGCATCAGATGTCTAATTATCTTAACTTGCAAAACATAAGAAGAATTTGAGAAGGTTGGGAAAAACTGGAAAATATGAGTGAGAACTTAAATGTTACAAGCTGGACAGGAATTTGAAGGAATTCTTCTTTGTGAGACCTCTTTGTTTGATCAAAACCCCGTAATGCCCTCTTCATTGCCCAGCTCTTTCCAGTAAGATACCCACCTGGGCCCCAGCAGCACAAGAAGGCCACTGGGTAGAAGCGTACTCGCTGCTCTACAATGTGAATCACTGCCCACTGTTCACTTCCCAAAAAGCCAGTTGATTTCACAAACTTCTTATACAGAGTCTGGGCTTGGATGAGTAAGACCTAGACAGGGGTACAGCAGTGAATAGTTTGCCCAAGATTTAGTAACTTTCCAGGTCTATCCTCCTATAATTTTAGAAGGATCATTCTCTTAGGATCTGATAGAAGGAAAAGCCCATTCCTGTCTTTACTATCTGAGACCAGGCTTTTTCTAAGAGAAAATTATCTTCAGAATGAACTTTTGCTTGGATAGGGAAATAGACAGATATTAGCTAAACTTGTGGTTACCGTGTTCAAAATATGAACCTTAACAATAACCCTCAAGATGTTTATTCACTGAGACTGATCACAATATGCATGAGAAATAAAATTACTACTAAGATCTATGCTCTAGCCAGTTTTGCTCAGTGAATAGAGCCTTAGCCTGAGGACCAAAGGTTCCTAGATTTGGTTTTGGTTAAGGCACATACCTTGGTTGCAGACCTGGTCAGGGTGTGTGCAGGAGGCAACCAATCAATTATCTCACATCTGATATTTCTCTCTGTCTTTTCCTTTCTCTTTTCACTTTCTCTAAAAATCAATGGATAAATATCCTAGGGTGAGGATTAAAAAAAAAAAAAAAAATCTGCGCTAACTGGTTTGGCTCAGTGGATAGAGAATCGGCCTGCGGACTCAAGGGTCCCAGTTCCATTCAGGTCAAGGGCATTACCTTGGTTGTGGGCATGTCCCAGTGGGGGTGTGCAGGAGGCAGCTGATCAATGTTTCTCTCTCACTGATGTTTCTAACTCTCCCTCTCCCTTCCTCTCTATGAAAAAATCAATAAAAAATATATATATATATTTTTAAATCTAACCAGGCCCTCTTTTAAAACCCTTTATTAGAGGTTATGTTAGAAAGTATTCTATACTTAATATCCTTAAAATAAATGCTTTAGCAATGTGACTAAGCTTAAATTCTCAACTGTAAGAAAAAAGAAAAAAGTCTTTTCTTGCTCTTTAGCTAACTGAAAGAAATATAAATCAGTACAGAAGTCCAACATTATTTTAGTGGGGAGTGAATTATGTGATAATCTTGGTAACAACTTTGACCAAATTTAAAACTTTCCTCTAATAATTCAGATCCATACTCTAAATTAACAACCAATTAACTTAAAGTTTAGCCATTTAAGTTTCTTTTTTCCCACAGAAATAGGGTTCAAAAGGAGGTCTGAACTTATTTGAGAATATTCATGGCTAGTAGAATCAGTTCATCATCTGTTGTTTAAAAAAGAATCAGAATGCGCCCAGCTGGTTGAATGTTGACCTATGAACCAGCAGGTCACAGTTCGATTCCTAGTAAGGGCACATGCCTGGGTTGAGGGTTCGATCCCCAGTGTGGGGAATGCAGCCAGCCAATTAATGACTCTTTCGTGTTTCTCTCTTTCCCTCTCACCTTCCTCTCTGAAATCAATACAAATATGTTGTTGTTGTTTTTTAAAAAAAAGGAATCAGAATGACAATTCTGAATGCCCATTGAAGCCTGGGTTATTCTGAAGCAAACAAGAATCCCCAGGGTGCCAGGCTACCTATCTCTCTTGTCAATAAGTTCTAAATATAAACCATTAAAGCCATTTTAATGTAAATTAGCATTATGCGATCTTTACAAACTTGCTGATTTGAGCTAAGTTACCTCCATAACTTATATTTGAATTATCAAAGGAAATATCCGACAATTATATTTGGTTCACTGCCTGTACTAGGAAACAAAACATATTTAGGAGATAAATTTGGTCAGCAGGTAGATAGTTTGTAATCCCTGAACTAACATATGAAGAGAACATTTACTGAAAAAATAGATATGGCAAATTAGAAGGCATATTGCTTGCTTACTGATTTTGTACTAGGCCAGTGGTCAGCAAACTCATTAGTTAACGAAGCCAAATATCAACAGTACAATGATTGAAATTTCTTTTGAGAGCCAAATTTTTTAAACTTAAACTTCTTCTAATGCCACTTCTTCAAAATACACTCACCCAGGCTGTGGTATTTTGTGGAAGAGCCATACTCAAGGGGCCAAAGAGCCGCATGTGGCTTGCGTGCTGTAGTTTGCCGACCACCGTACTAGGCAATTATATATAAACTAGAGGCCCGATGCACAAAATTCGTGCAAGAGTGGGCCTTCCTTCCTCCAGGTGCCAGCACTGGCTACCCTCTGGCACCCAGGACCTGGGCTTCCCTCGCAGCCTCGGCTTCATCCAGAAGGACATCTGGTCTAATTAGCATATTATATTATGCTAATTATGCTTTTATTATTATAGATATCATTATAAATTATTATATATAATATCTTGTCTCATAGCTGATTATTTTAATTCTGATGATGTCAGGTGAATATTTAATAACTGTCTGAGTCACTTAGCACCTTAACCCAGTTAGACATATCATAATTACAAATTTATAGCCAATTAAGAATTGAGAAAAGAAAACTCTTTCATTATTTGGAAAATTAAACCAAATTTCATCCCACACATTCCAAAGTATCTATATATACTAGTATAAAACACTAATATGCAAATAGATCGAATGGCAGAACAACCAACGAACCAGTTGCTATGACATGCACTGACCACCAGGGGGCATGAGCAGAACATAGCAGGCGTCGGCAGCGTGAGGAACATGGAGGGCAGCAGCCATGGCAGGATGGTGGAGCAGGTAAGCAGGGGTGCCAGACCAAGGTGGGACACCAGTCGCTATCATCAGGGCAAGCCTCTGGTGGTTACTGAAAATTCTTAGCTCTCATGCACCGTGGTCCTGCCCGGCACTAGCACCCGCTGCTGGCACTGGAGCTGCCACTTCCACCCAGTGCCAGTGCCCAGTGCTGGCCCCTAACTCTTGGTGTCGTTAGCGATGTAAACTGTGGCTGCTGACTCCAATTGCCACTCCGGGCTTCTCCACCTCCCCCTGCTCCTGAGGGGTGATCAGGGCTGGCAGCTGCCTCTTGCACCCGCTGCTCACATGGCCCCACTCACAATTATTGCCAGAGCCACAACTCACTCCACTGTTAGCACTTGGCGCCAGTACCGATCACTCCTGAGGGCTTCTCCACCTCCTCCTGCTCCTGAGGGGTGATTGGGCAGCAGCTACTGATGGCACCAGCCCTGCTTGCACCTGCTGCTGGTGCCAGCCCCAGTTGCTCTGCACTGTAAGTGGGTGTGAGTGGGGCCGATGCCGTCAGAGCATGGGAATGGTGGCAGTGGGAGCAGGGCTGCCAGCAGACAGGGGACTGGAGGCTACAGTGGGAGGGGCTTGGTGGGGCTTGGAGCAGAGGATGGGCTGAGACTTGCCTCTGTGCCCACAGCAGCCTCACAGCCCACAGTTCCTTTAAAGTTGCACAAATTCATGCACTGGGCCCCTACCCCTATATAATAAAAGACTAATATGCAAATGGACCAAATGGTGCAACGACCAGTCACTATGATGCACATTGACCATCAGAGGGCAGATGCTCAACATAGGACCTGCCACCTGGTGGTCAGTGAGATCCCACAAGGGGAGCACCGCTCAGCTAGAAGTCAGGCTCACGGCAGCATTAACCCTACCAGATCTGAGGCCCTGGGCTCCTGAGCATTAAAGAGAAAAAACCAACATGATATAGAAAAATGTTAGTTACATGCAAACAAGTGGTTAGAATATGATGGAACTTGGAGACATTGTAGAAAATAGGTCTAGGCAAGGTACCAAAAATTAGGTACAGCAATATAGTGGCAGATTTGGAAATTACCAAAAAATCAGTATGGTGGTCTGGTAGGGTTAAGGATGTCTGACTGATGGCTTAGGCAGGAGCGGGCCTAAACCTTCAGTCAGGCTCCAAATTACAAGAGGATGCAGGCTGGGCTGAGGGGGACCCTCCCCCCCCCACACTCGAGTGCATGAATTTTGTTCCCTGAGCTTCTAGACTTGACACATTGTAGTTTTCTGCTCTGATCCTCCCTGGGGATCCACAAGAACATATATTACTTCTAGAATGAGGATAATCCCTAGAGAATGAATACAGGCACTTTTTCCCACTCATCATTTGATTTTGGGAAGTTCAAAAAACTAAGGTAATAATTAAGTTGTCAATATCTCCTAGCCACTCTGTTAAGTCTGGGACTATCAAAAGTGATTTCTACCTCATCTCTTCCAGGCCTTGGGAATACTCCCCAATCCCTCCCTATCCCCGCTTTCCCTCCATAAAGGCAGATAAGGTGGCACCATACCACAATGGTGAAGAGGCTGAGTAGAAAGCTGGTTAGGAAAACGATGAGCCCATAAAAGTAAAGTGTGCTACAGACTGATGTGTTGGCAGAAGGCAGGAGTTCAGCCATGGCTGATGGTGGTGAGTGCATCAGGATACACCTAAGAAGAGAATCAATGAATAAGAGTACTGCTACAGATATAAAACTAGAGAGATACCTATTAGTGCAACAAAAGTTCATGAGTATAAAATTTTACTTATCATTTTGCTAACACTTTGCTCTTTCTCTTAGACACATCATTTTCTAGTCACCTTGTTATATTTCTAAGTATGTATTTTCATAATGACTATATATTATTCTCACTATTCACATAGCTCGTTTAGAATACAACACCTTAGCCAGAATGTATGTAGAAAGTTCTCTTCTATCCCCATTTATAGAAAAGAATATGTGTTGACTACCGTGAAAATGATAGATTTGGTCCTTACTTACCCGTGGTTCTGGCTAAAGTTGTGGTAACATTCACTGGCATTGCCCAGACAAAACACAGGTATCATCAATAGAAGAGGTATCAGACTGGGAGGAAAAAAACTTGTCATCCTCATATTCAGACTGTTTTATGCCCTCTTCCATTTGCAAAATATTATCCTGTTCTTCTCCCTCCTCTATCATCCCACCACTCTCCACTTATACATATTCATTTAAATTCTCTAAGAAAAATCATTAAAAAACCTTAAGTATACTGTCTTTTTCAAAACCTGGGAAAGTGAAGTGAAGAATGCACTTTATACTTAGGGTAATGAACACTAACACAGTCTCATAGAGAGTCTCTGAGAGTTGTGTGGTCCTATAAAATTCAAGTGGGTCAAATGAAAGAAAAAATTTTAAAGGAGCTCTCTGCTTGCTCTGTTTCACTTTCCATGGTGACCAGAAATAACTTCATTCTCATAAGCCCTTTCCTGGGAGCTTTTCCAAAATCGACCTTTAAATAACCAATTATCTATCCAGAGGAAAAAATCCAGGAGTTGAAGTTACAAAATCTAAAACCAACTCTGTAATGACCTCTTAAATGAGATCCAGATTCCTTCTGGGCTTAATAATTTTAAGAATCTCACCCAATGTTATAAAGGTAGATGAGATCTTGAAAGCCCCTATTACAACTCTTTAAGAGATGTAGAAAGGAATTAAAAGACCAAAGACTTAAAGGGAAATACCTGATGGTCAAATAGAGGTGATGGCAGAATTGAGGCTAAAACCCAAATCTGTAATTTCAAACTGTTTGCCTATCCTATTTGTTACTTCCTATTCATTAAGATTTCAAGAGGACCTACGCATGACAGACTCAATAGATATAAAGGACACTGTTCTTTTATTTGTTCCCACCTAGACTCCAGAATAATGAGAGTCCACACCTTGCTAGGAAAGAAAGCAAAATATCTTACCTTGATGAAATAATGGCTATCTGACCAACTTGACAAGTATTATTTATAACCTATGAAAAGAATAAATGTGAGCAATATCTTCGGATACTGCCAATCATGTTATAATAAATACCAGGTCATTAAGTGTCACTTGATGGAAAAATTCCCAAGAGTCAGGTTGCTTCCGTTAAGAAATATTTGTTATAAAATTCAGTAAAATATTTCCTTAGCATTGGAGATAAGAGAATTTTATCTGTTACTATATTCTAAACTAGAGGCTTGGTGCACAAATTTGTGCAAGGGGGGAGGTCCCCTCAAACTAGCCAATCCTGGGGATCGGTCCTAAGCCAGCAGACAGACATCCCTCTCACAATCCTGGACCACGGGCTCCTAATTGCTCACCTGCCTGCCTCCCTGGTCACCCCTAACTGCCACCCCCCCCTACTGGCCTGATCACCCCTCACTGCCTCTGCATGCCGGCCTGATTACCCCCAACAGTTCCTCCTGTTGGCCTGGTTACCCCCAACTGCCCCTATGCCAGCCTAGTTGCCCCTCATTGCCCCCCCCCAGCCTAACTGCCCCAACTGACCACATGGTCATTCCTAATTGCCCCCCCAATAGCCTAGTTGCCTCTAACTGCCCCCCCTTCCAGCCTGGTTTCCCCTAATGCCCTCCCCGCCCCCCCCCCACCAGCCTGGTCGCCCCAGCAGGGAGTGGGCAGGAGGCAGCTGAATCGATGTTTCTCTCTCATCAATGTTTCTAACTCTCTATCCCTCTCCCTTCCTCTCTGTAAAAAATCAATAAAATATATTTAAAAAAAAGAAAAAGCCAGGCAGGAATGGCAGTACTGTGCATAATGTTTCCCATAATCGACTCTTTTTTTTTTTTTTTTTGGTGGCATGAGATATGAGAAAATCATGTTAACAGAATGGAAACTCAATGAGAATGTTTTCCTTTTATTAAACTCAATTAATTCACCTAGTCTGTGCTGAGTGTTTATACTATTGATCAAGAATATATGGGTTCATTTTGGCAAACTGTTCTTAACTATTAACTCTGAATAAAACTTACCAAGGAAAATGTGCTCTGTCCACTATGGGTGTGTTTCATCCTTAGTTCTTTGTACAGATACCAGATGTAATTGACGGTGTAAAGAAATGAAGAAATGTAGAATATCTAGGTAAAAAATCAAAGCAACCCATCATAACTGCCCCACTCTGATTTCCTTCGATTTATTCCATTATTTTCAATTATTTTTTAATTTCTTTATTGATTAATGTATTAGGTCTAGTAATAATTAATGTCGTTTTCTAATACTTTTAAATCGAATTTATTTAAACAATACAACAAAATTTAATCACCAATATAGTTGCCGTTGTTTTCTACTACTTGTGCCCAACGCTCAGGAAGCATTTTAATCCCTCTGTTGTAAAATTCTTGTGATTTTGATGCAAAAAATTCGGTCAATGCATTTTTGAGGCATTCTTCATTATTAAATTTTTTTCCAAGAAGAAAGTTTTGCAAAGAACGAAACAAATGGTAATCGGAAGGGGCAATATCAGGAGAATATGCAGGTTGAGGGAGAACTTCCCATTCCAACTGGCGCAGTTTTTCAGCAGTGATTCTTGCAGTATGCGGTCGTGCGTTATCGTGGTGAAGAATTACGCCCTTCCGATTAATCAGCGCAGGTTCTTTTTCTCTTAAAGCTTGGGCTAACCTTTCCAATTGGGCACTATACACTGCACTTGTAATGGTTTGGTTAGATGGTAAAAGTTCATAATGAAGAATTCCTTTAAAATTCCACCAAACACACAACATCACTTTTTTCGCATGCAAGTCAGGTTTTGGCGTGGGCTGCGGAGCCTCATTTTTGTCCAACCATTGAGGCCGCCTTTTCAAATTAACATACAGCACCCATTTTTCATCTCCGGTAACAATTTGCTCTAAAAACGGCAAATGGTTTTGACGAGAGAGGAGCGAACTACAAATTGTGACTCTTTGATTACGGTTGTTGTCGGTCAACTCATGAGGAACCCATTTTCCAAACTTTTGGACTTTGCCAAGTGCATGCAATTGATTGGAAATTGTTTTTTGTGAACAATTTAAAGTTGTCGCAAGCTCTTGTTGGGTAATTTGAGGATTTTGCACCAAAAGAGCTTGAAGAGCTTCTTGATCAAAATTGGACACACGGCCTCGACCACTCTTGTCATCTAACAAAAAATTTCCCTCGCGAAATTTCTCAAACCAACGCTGGCATTTTCTGGCGCTAACTGCATCTTGACCAAGAGCACTACAGATGTTTTTTGCAGCCTCACTTGCTTTTCTTCCTAATTAGAACTCGTAAAGCATGCAGTGCCAAATATGCTCTTCATCCGCCATCTTCTTAGCCCTAGTTTTGCAACAAAAACCAAACCAAACCAAACACAAACTTTTTCAAGCAAAACTTGTTAATTGCACTTCACACGTTCTGTAGATACCACGTGTTTGAAGGTCAATACAAGTCAACGCCAAGCAAGATTTTAAACGAATGTTTAAAAACGACATTAATTGTTACTAGACCCGATATTCCATACGTGTCCTTATTCCCCCATTCCTCCCCCCGCCCCTCCACTCAGGCCCTCACCACCCTGGTGTCTGTCTATTGGTTAGGCTTATATGCATGCATACAAGTCCTTTGGTTGATCTCTCCCCCTTACTCCCATCCTTCCCTATCCTCCCTCTGAGGTTTGACAGTCTGATGGATGCTTCTCTGTCTCTGGATCTGTTTTTTGTTCATCAGTATATGTTGCTCATTATTTTCTACAAATGAGTGAGATCATGTGATATTTCTCTTTCTCTGACTGACTTATTTCACTTAGCATAATGCTCTCTAGTTCCATCCATACTGTTGTAAATGGTAAGAATTCCTTCTTTTTTACCTCAATGTAGTATTCCATTGTGTAAATGTACCACTGTTTTTAATCCATTCATCTGCTGATGGGGACTTAGGCTGTTTCCAAATCTTAGCTATGGTGAATTGTGCTGCTATGAACATAGAGGGTGCATGTATCCTTTCTGATTGGTGTTTCTATCGGGTCTAGTAATAATAATATGCTAAAAGTTGTCCCAGAGGCTCCTTACATTGTCTTCATATTTTTGGATTCTTCTTTCTTTTTGTTTCTCAGCAGCTTTTAGAAGATTCTTGAGTGACCTTATAAATGTGGTCCTGAACTCCATGTCATCCTGTAGTTTATTTCCTCCATTGCCCCCTTTCGCAACAAGCATTTTGGCTGCTTTCCTGTGTTGATGGAGCGGCTTTGTGTGGTAGGTGACCCACAGGGGCCAGTAGCTCAGCCTTCCCAATCACCTGAGGTGGACAATCTTGGTATGAAAGGGCAGGGCGGGGCGAGGATGAGCTCCCAACTCCGCCCCGTAGGGCGGAGTTATCCCTAGCCCTCAAAACCCCTGGACCGGAAGAAATTCGCTCTCTTCCGCCATGCTGCCGGCATGAGTGGGGGAGCACATGCTAGCATGGTGAAGGCTCTCTTGCTTATTGCATCGGACTTGGCTCCCTGGTGGTCCTTGGGGATCACGAAGTCTGGGCATAACAGATGGGGGCGTCGTCCGGGATCCCCGGGACCATTAGGGAAAACCCGATCCGGAGAGTCTGACTGGCCGCGGTAGGTGTGTGCGCGCTCTGGAGGGACATAAAACCCCTCATGGAATTGGTGCCCGAAGACGCCTGGTGGACGCACCGTGAAGGCTACGGGCAGGAGGATCAGAAGACGTTCTGACCTCCCGGGAGGGCCCGAGAGGGACCCTCATATGGGGAGAGGAATGGCGTGAGCCGTTGCCTCACCTGCGGAAAGTGAGCCTTTCCCAGGTCTGAGTTTGGTATCTGTGGGCGACATGGCGCCCCAGGATGGAGCCGGCGAAGTGTGGCCGGCATGGTGGTTCGGGGCCCCCTGGCGGCGTTGGGTCGGAGGGGGGGCTCCTGTGGGGCTCAGTCTGCGCGTTGGAGCGCGGCTGGGCAGTGGTGGCCTCGCTCGGGGAGCAGGCACCTGGGTTAATTTGCTGGCTGCCTGGGAAGTGGAGCCGGGAAGCCGCTGGGGCGACCCGCGCTTTCTCCTCGGGGGCTGCCTGAGTAGTGTGGCTGGGGTGGCCAAAGCAGCCTCGCCCCAGGGGCCTGGGCCCTGGTGGCCTGGGCCAGCATAGAGACATTGGTCCCTGGAGACATCAGGTACCGGAGAAGAGCTCAAGGGCAAATCTCTGTGCTCAGTAAAGAGAAAAGGCCAGTTCAAAACGAGTGCGCATAGTTTTGGGCTGTGCTTAAAAACACTTTTCTGGGTACAGAATAAGTTTTAAAAGTGGTGGAGATAAATTAAAACTGGTTTCCCAAGTCATTTGTAAGCAGCTCTTGAAATTCCCCGCCATGAGGCGGAAACTAGATGGTAATGGTAACAAGTTTACGTGAATGGTGGTGAATGGCCGTTAATGGCTGAGAGTCTTCAGGTAAAGAATGTGTTCATTTGCATTTGTATGCTGCTCCAGATTCAGGAGTGGCAGGTAATTGGTGGTGAAGCAGCCCACAATGGTTAGTCTTCCTTGTCATTGGTATCAGCTAAGCAGAGTCATATAGCTACTTAAGTATGAATTGTGATTGACCTATGATTTTCTGACATTGTCTTAAATCCTAGTAAACTGCCTCTGGTGTGGAGAGGTCTAGGGGAGGCCGGAGAGCGCAAGACTATTAGCTCTCCTACAAAGAGATTATTCAGTGCTTTGTTTGAACTTCAGAAAAAAAAAAATTTTTGAGATCTGAAAAAACTGTATGATTAGATCTGTTGCTGAAACTTTACCCTAAGTAGGATATATTAAAAATGTAATGTTATTAATCTAAGAAATGCCAAATTTATTTGACTTGCCAGCTTTAAAAGTTCAAAGTATAAGTTGAATTAGGAAAAGTTAATTGCAGTAACTAGATGCCTAGAATATGGCAGGCTAAACTGTATTATATATGTTAAGAATAAGCAGTAATGATCAAAGATCTCAAGGATTGATTTATTCTCATTTGTCAGATGAAAAAGTATGTAATGCTTACACTTAAAAATTATTTTAAGTCAGTGATGCAGTATTTTTTTAAGTCAGTTTTTCTAAAGTAATGTTTAATGTAACATATGAAACTTTTATATTTGATTTGTTCTGTTTTGCTTTTCTCACATGCCATTGTTGTTGAATTTGGGCTTGTACCTGCATCTTGTATTTTGTTTAAACTTTGGGAATAATTTTTGGTTTCAGTCATGTGTATCTACTTTAGAATTGTGTTAAAATAATGTGAAAACAATTATTTGTATGATTAACCCCCCGAGACTGCTTGGACAATTTTCACCGATGTTCTGCAGTGGGGAGTAGAGGGGCTTAGAAATGTAGATAAATCTATATCTGTAGGGAAAATGTGGCATTTTACATTTCAGGTGGCTGTTAGAGGCCTGGGAACAGGTACTGGACCTGCTCCCTCCTCCCTTGCCTTTTAAAATTTGAGGCATGGTTATGTATTTTTGGAAGATAAGATTTTTATAGAAATTATAAAGAGTATGTCCTGACAGGTTAGCTAGGAGAGGCAAGCCTTTTAGTTTCCTGATGGGCATGGGGGCACCCTATTTAGTCTTGAGAGAGCCAATAGGACCCGTACATCAGCCCAGGAAGCCACCGGACAAACTGCCTGTTTTCCTTGGACATCAAGAAGGACTGTGGTCCTCGGAAGGAACACGTACTGGGGGAATGCAGCTGTTGAACTGGTCCAAAGTGGAACAACGGATCTTTGAGGAGCTAAAGAAGGCTCTCATCTCAGCAGCTGCCCTAGCCTTGCCGGACGACGCGGAGCCCTTCCACCCCTACGTGAGTGAGGTAAGAGACATTGCCAAAGGGGTTCTCACTCAGACTCTAGGTCCCTGGAAGAGACCTGTTGCCTATCTGTCTAAGAGACTGGACCCTGTGGCAGCCACAGCATTGTTGGTGAAGGAGGCAGATAAGTGGACTCTGGACCAGGAGCTAACCTGGATGGGCCAGGCTTTTCTCCTGGACCAGCCCTGTGTCCAGATTCAGAAAACTCTGGCCATCAACCCTGCCAGCCTGCTTCCAGATGATGATGATGGAACCCATTCATGACTGCACAGAGGTAACAGACGACAAGGTAC